GTTAGCTCTGCCTAGCATGGCTAGCTTCACCGTGTTTTTGTCCATGTGTGCCCGGGATGACTCGTGTTTCTTCACCTTCTCAGAAAAATGTTTCATGTCTGTAACTCCTGACTCAATCAACCTTATCTGTCCCAGCCATTTTGAATAACAAACACGGAAAGCAAAATAACGCATTAGCATGATTGCATCCAGCTAGCCAAGCCTTCCTGGTGTACCAATTTCGGGAGAAGCCTTGTGTGTACAGTTTACCTCTCTCCTTCTCCTGCTGGCTTATCTTTACGTCGGGCTGATCTGGTCCAAGCTCTTTGACATTAAGTTTTTCCACCATAGTTCTCCTCTCGAACGGATACTGGAGAAGAGACCGAACTGAATTCAGTGGCTGCTGAGATCCGGTATCCATGCTGGTTGTAGTCACCGGCGGCGTCCATATTACATCTGCGTCACGACCAAAAACGACTGCCGAGTTCTACCGAACACCAACGAAAGCCATCATGCTTCTGAAACAACGTCAACGCTGATTGGATACATTCCCATTCCTACCCTTTGATTTTCTTGTCAGCAATTGGACGGCTGGTCCCGTCCTGTTTGGGCGATTCAAAAACAGCCTACAGCTAACCGCTCGGCAGAGACCGGCAGAGACCAATATAGATGTATATATACATGATTTATTTTTGTTACAAAACACAATTAACTTAGAATATGTGATTATTGTTAATTAATTTTATTTATTTATTTATTTATTTAAATAAAAATTAAATACACTGGGGAAAACTGGGAGGGCGGCGCCCTATCGCCCTCTACTGGCCAGCCGCCACTGAGTGCTGCTCTTCCGAGAACTTTGTCAATTCTGACTGGAATATGGGAGGGTCAAACTTATAAACTGTAGCAATCTATTGTTGCTTAACGAGCAGAAACTAAGTATGAATACCCCTCATCCTTACCCCCTGATGAACCCCTTTGGATTAACAACTAAGACTCAAACTAACATTGACTTCCTGAAACAGAAGCGCCAGAGCCGTTTTTTCCTCAGAGAATGACTCACAAGGCATTCATTCATACTGAGACCACAGCAGATTTATAGACATAACGAATTTTTTCAGTGGAGGCAGAATCCGGAGAACTCCTGACCGGCACCAGACTGTGGGAAGTTTGTCAGAGGAGCATTACGCCTATGTTGGGATTATGGTTGAAAAGGTAAGATTAAGGAAGTTTTAATGGTATTTTTGACAGCATCCAATGCGTCTGGCATGCTCGTCTTCTGGAGCCTGAGGAAAGGGTGTTGGACCTTTCGGCTGTGTGTTTCTCGTCTCTCGTCTTCCTCCGCTTATCCGGGTCCGGGTCGCGGGGGGCAGCATCCCAACTAGGGAGCTCCAGGCCGTCCTCTCCCCGGCCTTGTCCACCAGCTCCTCCGGCAGGACCCCAAGGCGTTCCCGGACCAGATTGGAGATGTAACCTCTCCAACGTGTCCTGGGTCGACCCGGGGGGCTTCTGCCGGCAGGACATGCCCGAAACACCTCCCCGGGGAGGCGTCCAGGAGGCATCCTGACCAAATGCCCAAACCACCTCAACTGGCTCCTTTCGATCTGGAGGAGCAGCGGTTCTACTCCGAGTCCCTCCCGAATGTCCGAGCTCCTCACCCTATCTCTAAGGCTGAGCCCGGCCACCCTACGGAGGAAACTCATTTCGGCCGCTTGTATCCGCGATCTCGTTCTTTCGGTCATTACCCAAAGCTCATGACCATAGGTGAGGATTGGGACGTAGATCGACCGGTAAATCGAGAGCCTGGCTTTCTGGCTCAGCTCCCTCTTCCCCACGACAGATCGGCTCAGCGTCCGCATCACTGCAGACGCTGAACCAATCCGCCTGTCGATCTCCCGATCCCTCCTACCCTCACTCGTGAACAAGACCCCGAGATACTTAAACTCCTCCACTTGAGGTAGGACCTCTCCCCCGACCCGGAGGTGGCAAGCCACCCTTTTCCGGTCGAGAACCATTTTTTTGGGCTGTGTGTTTCTTATTTATTTATTTATTTTGTGTGTGTGTGTTGGGGGGGGATTATGTAGCTTGATTAAACATCTTTTTTGGGGAATAGAAAAAACTGGATTTCCACATATTTTGAGTTTCTAAGTTCTTCTGCTAAAGAGTGCAGGGAAAAAACTCGGCTTTTATTTGAAAGTGAAAACATGATGAAAATATTAACATGATACTCACTTGATCCAACAAAAGATAATAGAAAACAAAAGTCTTAGAAGAACCGAGACTTCTTTTGTACCCCTGAAGGCAGCAGCTCACCTTTTAAACAGCAAAAAAAATCTGACAACTGAAGTTTTTCACGTTTGATTCACACATAAATGTGTCTCTCTCTCCCTCTCTATTTGCATTTTGTTTTTGTCATACTAGAAGATTTGCTCATGTTTTAGATTTCAGCACTAACCTTCAGAGTGAAGGAAATGGTCACGGGCTCGGGGAGCAAAAAGATAAAAGAAATTATGTGGAAAGTAATCAATGGGCATCAAAATTCCTCTCATGCAGCTCCCCCTTGTGGGCGAATGGGAATGAAACGTCTGAACTGCCACAGAGTTCAGAGTTTGGGCTCTTGATTTACAGCTGAGGGACTTTGGACCAGAGCGATTTACAGTTAGAGAACACAACAGAGCGGCTTCTGCTCAAGGACATCTGGGATGCATAGACGAGGTGACGGAGTGGAAGTAAATTAACAGTCAAACTGACAACTCTGATATGTTGAAGGTTTGTTTTTAATCAATCTTATTTGCACCGTTTATTCAGATAAAAGTTATGTTTGTTTTTCACAGGCAGGTGGAATCAGCTGCAGGGTTTAATGGAAAAATCACAGCAGACTTTTTTGTTTCAGTCATGTTGATGAGAAAAATGGAGATGTTTTTACCCACGTGGAGATTTTAAAGAGACACTTTGCCACTTTTTTTATACTTTGAAATCATTTTCTTGCCCCATATGTGCTAAAATGCCCCTTTACGGATTTTATGATGTCACTCAGACTCCACCCGCCCCTGTGGCTACATTACCGCACTTGCAGCTTCGGAGTAGCCAGTCCGGTCTGTGCCGGTGGAGGGAGCTGTGAAGAGGAGTGGAGCTGACATGGTGGAGCTGGAGTCTGCTTCCAGCACGTTTCCTGCATGTTTTAGATCATGAGCACAGCTGATTTTATTTAGCAAAGAACCACTCCTGTAGACACTAATGAATGCTGAGGAGACATTTCTGCTGTTAGATGAAGGTGTTAAAAATACAAACGCACAGCAACAAGATAAGTTTCATTTTCGGTTTAACCACAGCTAATTAATAACGGACACTAGGGGGTGCTAAAAGCAAGAACACTGCAAAGTGTGAATTTTATTTATGGGAATAAATTGTCTTTAGGCTTAACAGTAACTCCTGGTTCGCTTCTTGGCTTTAAAATGTCATCAAGTTTATCAAATAGTAAATTTTATTAGATGCTGTGCAGGTTTTAAAGTTTTTTTCCTCTGTGCACTCTCCAGAGTAAAATCAGCACCGGCTCAAAGCACCCTTAAGTAGGGAAAGCTTGCAGTTTGACAAATACCTGAACCAGCATTCATCAATACAAAGCATTCCCCTCTTGCACACACAGCACTTGAGTTATGTTTTCCTTTAATTTATGCCTCCAACAAGATGCTTAAACATTTACAATTACTTGTGGGTGTCACGGTAAATCACAGTAAATCAGCGCACTAAGGCAACACAAGCAGATTTGCATGCAAATTGTCCCAGGGAAGGTCGCAACATCAGCTTTTGAGCTTTACCGCGTTGTGTTTTTGCACAACAAAATGTCTCGCAATTTCATTTGAATTGTTAAGGCCATAAACAACACACTTCACTCTGAAGACAGCAGGCGCAGAATATTACCCAAAGTACTTCATTTGCAAAAAGGCTTCAAACTTTTCATAAATCACAGCTTTCATCTGGAACCAGGAGGCAACCCTGTGAGCTATTCTGGTACAGGTGCTGAAATACACTCCATCTTCACTCATTACGACGCTAGGACACCGTGAAGTGTCTCCAAGAGTGAGCAGGAGGAGGTTTCACGAGAGGTGACGTAAGGGCTGGGACTGTGAGACGGATGGAGCTGTGATTCTAACGCTCGCGCCGTACCGCCGCAACAAGCCAAACAAGCAGGTTTATCTGAACAACAACACTCGGCGTTCACAAGCAGCATGAATAATTATCGCTACAGACACAGAGAGCTGAGATACGTTCAGGCTGCAAGCTGCTTTGTGATGCAGAGACGCGTCGGAATAAATGGCTGGTTTTTGTGGATTGTTGTCTGCATGCTTGAGGAAGGTTTATTTTCTGCACTGAAAATAAAAATCATGTTTAGATGTTTGAGCTTCTTTTGAAAACGGCAAAAATAACGTCGGTATTCTCATGTGAATAGTCTAGACGAGACAAAAATCTTTATGACTGATCAAATGTAACATCAAAAACAATTAAACCTCCCCCACAAGGAGCAGAGATCAACATGGTGCTTCGAGCATTTCACATCTCGATGAGCTGGGTATTAGCTTTATGTTCCACACAGAAGAGTTTTGCGACTGTAAAACAGTAATTCAGCTGCAGATGTTTGACTGGACACTCCAGATGTGTTTCACATTTGGGTTTCAGTTGAAGATACCAAAGTTTGATGTTTACAGATAGATTCATCTGTGTTTTCTTTTGTTTTCTCAAAGCAAACAAGTAAAAATATATGCATTTCATTACTTGTTTGTAAATTACTATCGCAAATTCACATCAAACTGCTTCAGGCCTTAAAGTATGGAGTATGAGGATTAGTACCTTTATTGGAAACCTGCCATATCCAGTATTATACATCTCTACTGCCCTCTGGTGGAGGATCTGCAGGTGGAAAGAGCCAATTAGTTAAACCACCTTTGATTACATTTTATACATATTATACATTTAAAAAATGTTTTAAAGAAAACAAGGAAATGTCTCAAAATGCTGAGAAATTCTTATTTTATGGATTTGTTTAATTTGAACTGATCCCCCGCTATACGTTTGCTTTGACTAATCCACAGAAAGGCTTCGAGCGAAGAAAAGAAAGTTTGAATTTTTTGAAATTTTTTCTAAATGTTTTTAACATTTGTTCCATTAATTACAATTTTTCGAGTGCAGTTTTTAAACCATGATTGATAAACGTTTGGCACCCAGGAATATTGACATTAGGATTTATATACATGTATTTATATGAACTGTGTTCCTAAAGTTTTATGTCAGTTTGTTGACAAAACAAGAGAAATATAGAATAATGCCAACTCCATCATAGAAATCACCGTTACTTGGTCCAAAAATAATCTGAATATGGTGCAAGACTCCACCTACTTCACAAACTCCACTTAAAAGGTGAAACTAATAGATGAGACAGACTTGTTACATGCAAAGTGAGATATTTCAAGACTTTACTTGGTATAATTTTGATGATTATGGCTAACCCTGCTTTTCCACTAGATGCACAAGGGTTAGGGTAATGACACGTAATATCTGAGAGCTCCTTTCCCATCAGGAGAGTTTGACTCGAGATGGCAGCGAATTCGTTCTACGGAGCTGGTTCCTTGAAGTCCCAAAGTCACCAGGCGAACTGTGGACCACGAGCAGTTCACACAATACGCAAGAAGAACAATGGAGGCATGTAGCATCAAATGTCTCTGGTTTGTTATTTGTTCGGTTTACCTCGGCTACAAAGGATTCACAGGAATTGTGCAATCTTTTATTAGTTGCAACTGGGAATTTGCACAACTTTCATTTTGAAAGTTTCCAGATGTTTCACGCTGCTTTGCATTTGGCATCATACCTGGCCCAATCTGAGCTGCATGGTGCGGTCTGGAAGCGTAGCGAGAAACAAGACATCCATATGCTTCTGGGACGCCGGTGGAAACACACCCGTCCACAACGACGGCAGCTATTTTTTGCGTACCGTGTTTTGCAGAATTCTGCGTCACTTAAGTATACGGTAGAAAGACTCGGTTACTACGTATGAAAACCCCGATTAAAAATCTCAGACAATTGGAATATTGTGTTAGAATAAAGTGTTACGCCGGGATCACATCAGCTGCAAAGCGTCGCAAAGCAGATTGCTCATGAAATTTGTGCGCTGCTCTCTATACTGTTTAGATACAAAAATGATCCCATTCATCAATCGCAGTGTTTTATTTGGAAAAATGTCTTTATTTTGATAAATTTAGTGGCCTGCCTCTTCTGTTTGGGTTTGACTTCCTGCCATAATTTACGTGGCTCACTCACGCCTTGCGAGAAAATTAGAGCACACGCTGAAACGATTGCTGCACACCGCAAGCCTTCGTGGCACTTCGCAGCTGATGAGACCGACTGTAGGTTAAAATGGGCGCTGAATAGAAACGCTCGTCGTTCCACGGCGCATCATCGTGCTTCCCCGTCTGATGAGTTCCGGGCGTTACACTCAGCTAATGAATCCAGAACACCTGCAAAGGAATCCTGAGCCTTTAGATTATCTCTCAGTCTAAATTGAATTACTGAAATAAGTGGATTTTAGCACCATATTCTAATTTTTGGACTTTCACCTGTATAAAAATCACAAATGTGTCCCTTTATAAATGAATAAATACATCTGTAAAAATTACAATTCTCTTCCAGAAGAAAAAAAAAAGGTACTTTTTCAGCAGAAAACAGATGTTCCCGTCTTTGTCTTGACCTCATTCATGCCCGAGTATTTTCCAAGTAACTTAAGTCACATAAAAGCATTAATTAATAAGCACCCAACCGTTCGTGGGATCCCCCTCATAGCGAGAAGAGCGTCATTCCCGAGCACCAGTGAGGCAAATCCTCTTAATTGAGAAGTGTCAGAAGAGGCATCCGCCAACAGAAAGCAGAAAATAAACAGCTCCGTGCGAGTCAGGACCACCCCTACTGCTAATTTGTTCTCCCACAACTGTCACCACTCGCAGCAGTCGAGTCCATCTCGTTTCCTTTCCATTTACCGTCTGTCACTGCCGGCTCAGGTGCTCACACATATTCATTCAGGTACTTTACGTGCAATTCATCACCAGAGTCGTTTAGCTCTGCTGATGAATGGATGATAGGAGATAAGCTTGTCCAGCAGCCATTGATCACTGAACTTTTCTACTGTGGAGCTGTGGGCACATTTTGACATATGACTAGAGTGTGAGGAGTCAACATGGTACAACACGAGTGGGATGTGTGTGTTCTGGGAGAGGATATTGATGATAACTTTTAGGGTCGTTTCTTTTTTCTTTTTTTTTTGGGAGGGAAAGGAAGTAGAGTATTCCCAAACTGTGAATTTGATTATCCCCATGGGAAACATTTCTCCTGGAGAAATAGATGTCAGGAGTGACACACCAGTGTCTGACAGCCTTTTTGAGAGCAGAACTCTGTGCAGTCAGTCTTGCTTGGTGGAATATCGGATTGCGTCTGTCAGCTTTTTGTTGGTGACGGTGCACGCGGGACGGTTGTAGAGTGTCGTCCGCTGTCATCCGTCATCATCTCGGTCTTCCTCTGTGGGCTTGTTGCTGCAAAGACACAACAAGGCCTTCATTGGCAGCATGTCATGCAGAAGAGTAGGCAGAACCCCTGACACAAACTGCTAAAGTGTCACACATATTCAAGACTAAGTATTTTTAAAGCAATGAGAGAACTGTCAATGGAAAGAGAATGCAACAATATTCACTCAAAGGTGTTTAAGCATCCTTCAAAATGTGAGCGCAACAGTCAAGAAGCAGCAGCGCTTACAGAACAGCACACTGCCTGACAGTGAAGCTGTAACTGCACCTGCTGGGAAATCACAAACATCAATGCACTTTTTTTGTCATGTTAACACATCGTGTTGCGTCTCACATACCTGCGATGGGTGGGCGAAGTGGGCAGGGTGGCCATGCCCGTGTGCGCCGGGATGATGGTGGGTGGGCACCATGGTGGTGTGGTGATGTGCACTGGGCCTGTGATGTTGCCGAGTTGCTGGTATGTGATGCATGACAGGTTGAGGACCTCTCGTTGGGGACTTGTGACGGGAGCGCTCCTTGGGGAGGTTTTGAAATTGCGCCAGAGGGATGACAGGAGGAGGCGGAGGGGGGTTCTGAATTGTGCTGGGGTGAAGCAGGGCCGCCTGAGTCTGTTGTCTCCGATTCTGAAAAACTTGAGCAGTCTCAGTGTGGGCTTGAAGTGCAGCCCGGGTTAGGTTACTGTGGTTAGGCTGGGCGGAAAAGTTTGGGGCTGGAGCGGTGCCCCCTTGGTGCGGCTGGCTGGCACCAGGCATGACAGACTGTGTGTGTGTGCCCTGACCTTGCAGTGTTTGGACTGGTGCAGCCATGTGTGCCTGCTGAAGGTGATTAGGATCAGCCAAAGCTCTGGTATCGGTGCTCAGGGCTGCACCGAGTCCTTGTGGGATTGCGGGTCCCTGGGACACCGCAGAGTGGCCTGCAGAGGCCTGCTGGCTCATGAGAGGCAGTGCCTGGGGGTTATTGCGGCGAGTCGTTTCCTGCCTGGAGGAAGTCTGGCCGCCTGTGATCTCTTGCTGAGCACTTTCCCTTTGTGTGCGAGGACTTCTCTGTGTGTGGTGGGAGCGCTCATGCTGTGGAACACTAGCAGCATTTGGTCGTTGGCGGTCAGTTGATCGGCTCCACGACTCATTGTTCTGCGATGGTGGATCACGTCTTGTGGGCGTTGTGCGCCGGGGAGCAGTTTGGCTCTGAGGCGGAGCTCTGTTTGTTGTTCTTCCTTCTCGGATGGGAGGATGGATGGTGTAATCTGTATAGTCATCTTCGTGGGACGTCTGCGCTCCCTGTGGGGTCCCACTCGGGTACGCAGGTGTTCCTCTGAGGGTATCCCAAGGCATCTGTCTCAACATGGATCTCGAGGCTGCGTTGTGTCCTCCTGAGCTCCTGTCAGACCTCCTGGGAGGCTCCGCCTCCTGCTGATGAATCTGTGGGTTTACGTTTTGCTGAGAACTGTTGTAACTGTTAAAATGTGTAAATCCAGTAGGGATAAGCGCACGCCGGTTCTGACGATCTGGACTTAAAGGACCGTCCAGATCAAACTGGCTGCTTTGCATTGCGAGATTTGAACGTCTTGTGTTCAAGAGGTTGTTTTGCATCGATGAAGCATTAATGTTGGCCTGATTGACAGAAGGGAAAGAGTGATCTTGTAGAGCCTGTTGGCCATTGGCGGGGTATGAGTTAAGGTTAACATTAATGGTGGGAACAGGGGCGTTGTTGCTTGGGTTGAGGCTGACTTGGACCGCTGGGGCCCGGTTGGAGCCCTGACCACCACCACCACCTGTCTGAATAAGGATGTTAGGGTGTAGCTGCTGTGTTGCATTCTGATCCTCTGAGCGAGTGAAAGCGGGGTTGTCGATGCCATTGTCTGGGTGTGAATTAATATTCCGTACAGCATTGTGCGGAAGCCTATTTGCATGGCCATTATTTCGGTTTGTGTCAGAGTTCTGCAGTCCGTTCAGAGCCAGAGTCTGAGGGTTGCCGCGGCTTTCACGTTGGGTCGTGATTAAGTGGTCAGGCCGGCGTGTTTGTGCGCTTGCGTTATAGAGAGGCGGTTGAAGAGCTTGGTTCAAATCCCTTCCATTATTAGTTTGTGGATCTGGAGGCTTGATGTGAGCAAGTGAAAAATGAGGGCATGGAAGAGAGAGCAAAAGAAAGATTGGGTTCATTTGTGAACAGCCCTTCAGCACCGTCATGACATAAAGACAAAATCAATACTGAATCATGTGTAAACTTTATATTGGCTTACAACAGGCCTTTGGTTTGGATCTGTCTTCTGAACAAACGCTGCATCTCTACGCCTTTGCAGTGCTGTAAGAACAGAGCAGAAGAAAATATTTTATTGTAAGAAAATCTTATTGATAAAATCAGAAATGAATGTAGCACGCAGGTGGGCTTACCTTTCCTCCTTTGCACAAGACAGATAAGAAGCACAATGAGGAGCACAATGATCAGCAAACCCAGGAAGGAGCCAATTACGATTCCTGCAACTTCTCCACCATCAAAACATACATCTGGAACAGAAAGAACGGTGATGTAGGTGGAAACGTAACAACGATAATGATAAAGATAACGATTCTGGAGCCCAGGCAGACTAAAAGATAAAGGAGGGAATCTAAACACAGAGAATGATAAAGTAAGGGTAGAGAGAACGTGACATACAAAGTAAAGTGAGAGGTGGGTCACTGAATGACTTTGACCACAATCTCAGCTGATTAATCTTCCCCACAAAAACTTCCTGTCCCTCTCACGTCAAGAAGACAGATCCAGCCGCACATTTTAAAACCAACAGTGATTACGATCAGTCACAGAGGCGAGCATTCTCCATAACTCACCTACGACGGACACGTTGGCCGACTGCGTCGAAGTTCCTCCTGTGATGCTGTTGCTGGCCGTGCAGGTGTACCAGCCGGCGTCGCTCTTCGACACGGTCTGAAGGCTAAATGCACCGCTGTCTGGCTGCCCGCTGACCGGCTGGCCGTTCTCTCGCCACGAAAAGACGGCAGAAGGTAGAGACACGGATGTGCAGGAGATCCTCAAAGTCTGTCCCACCAACACGTCCCCTCCTCCTACACACTGTTTAGGTCTGGTGATGCTCATCGCAGGGGTGTCGGGTCCATCTGGTGTCAGTAACAGACACACATGATTCACAAGTGAGTCCAAGTTTTTAAAAAGCAGCTCTAATTGAAGAATTATATTCTTCTAAACGGAAAATTACTGTCTAAGTTTGGGGCTTTAGTTTCATCATCGGCTTAATTACTGCAGTTAACCCTCTTTGAACTCAGTCAGCTAATGAAAGAGGCATGCACTTTTTTTATTTTGATCCTGAATTTCTACGTTAAATTAGCAGCTGTTGCAGAAATTATGCTACTGTAATTCTGAAATCTGAGAGAAAGTTTAAGGTTTTTTTAAAGGAGACTTGACTTTTTTTCAGGCTGAATCGCAATAAATCTTTTACCCTTGTTTCCTGCATTAGTTTCTAATTTAAGAAAAGCTGTAGACAGATCTACGTCACACTGTCGCTTAACATTGATGGACTAATCCATTTTGGCTCATAAATGGGAAGAATGTTGGTTTTTGCATCCAGGAACCATCAGAGAATGTCTCGGCTACCAGAAGCTAACTGTTAGCATTAGCAAATCCACCACACAACAGAACTCCTTCAGGCTTGTGTCATTTGTGGAGATTAAACATCAATGTTTCAGAGCAAACAGAGTCAATGTTAAGAGTCATGTGGCTGTTAGCCAATCAGAGGCAAGAGTTCCAAATATCAGTAAGTGAGACGATATAATAATTCTCTCAACTTACTGGCTGATCTACGTTCCAACCCTCATCTATGGTCACGAACTTTGGGTAGTGACCGAAAGAAAGATTGCAGATACAAGCTGCCAAAATTAGTTTTCTCCACAGGATGTGTGGGCTCTCCCATAGAGATAGGGCGAGAAGCTCGGTCATCCGGGAGGGGTTTGGAGTAGATTTGCTGCTCCTCCACATAAAGAGCACCCAGTGGAGGCGGCTTGGGCATCTAGTTAGGATAACTTCTGGATGTGAGGTTTTCCGGGCACGTCCAACCAGGAGAAAACCTGAAGGAAGACCCAGGACACGCTGGAGGGACTATGTTCCTCGGCTGGCCAAGCGACGCCATAGGATTTCCCCGGGAGGAGCTGCCCAAGTGGCTGGGGAGAGGGAAGTCTGGGCCTCCCAGCTTAGGCTACTGCCCCGTGACCTGATCCCGGATAAGCGGCCAAAAAATGGATGGATGGGTGGAATTCTATGATTGATGCAAAACAAGTTTGTTTATTTTTTACTCTAAATCTCTCACATAAAGCAATTACAGCAGTTTTATTCTAGAAATTTTCAGAACCTTCCAGAATGAGTCATTTCAGGGCTCCGTCACTTTAAGAAAACAAGCTGGAGTTGGCCACACCCACCCATGTCCCATTCATGCAGCTCTGAAACCCAGGAGGGGTTTGAACCACAGCAGCAGCTCTTCTCTTGCCGTGAGAGGTGGTTCTATGCCAATTTCCTCATTTGTGACATCACAAATAGGGATTTTCTGAAACAGCTTGTTTTAGGAACATAATCCCTAAACATAACTCTTTCAAAAAATGGATGGCTTGATTTCTCTTTACATTTTGAGTGTAGCGTCACCGAAGGTCCTCGAATTTGTGGCAAAGGGCACGTCTACCCAGCTGGGTCAAGCTGGGTCAAACAGTACTTTTAAATCCACAGATTAACCAAGGATGCCATGACGTCTGGAAGAATATCATATCCATATCTGCTGCTGTTCCATCCCAGGAGGAGGACACTTATGATAATAATTAGATAATAATTAATAAAACTCATTGATTTTATTACTGTTTAATATAATCATAAATGATCACTTGGTTCAATATAATGGTATTTTAATTACATGAAGCAAATTATTATGCTTTGGGATACTAATGATTAATTATGATTATGGTTGATGACAGTAAAAGATGTGTTCAGCAAAGAAGGTCAGTACACCTTATCCATCTAACACAGAGTCCAGATAAACGATAACTGCAACACACGTTTTTGACACATGATCAAAGCTTTCTTGGGGAGAGAGTGGGAGTGTCCTGAGAGCTTGGTGAAACTAACCATCACCAGCTTCAAGAGTTCTTGAACCAACACCACGGAGGAAGGGAAAGGCCGTCCCTAAACCTCCACCTGCTGTTCCAGTCACGCCGACCAGAATAGCTAAGAATAAACGTAACTGTAACCAGCTAACGAAGACTCTACCCAGAGTCATTGATTTCTGAGTTAAGTTAAGACGAGAACGTCCATCCGCAAACGCTCGACACCTGTGTACCCGGCGACATCTCTGGACCAGATGATCGGACACTCGCGTCTCCCCTGCCGGACCGAGTGTCATCTTGGATGAACAACATCCTCCTGACCTCCGGATCCGCAAGAGGATCCCTGTTTGGGTGAGGTAGAACACGGGAATGCGTTGGATGCTGTTTACTCTAAGTAAAAGACTCGGTTAGCCGCAAAACATCATTTCCATCCAGAACGCTTCCAACTCTCTGAAAGAAACCTAATAATTCCATTCACGCATTCAAACATATTTTCATTTAGCTTCCATCCAGCCACAGGTTTGCTTTTAAAACAAGTTTAATATCAAAGCTGTTAAAAATTGTCATAAAATTGTCGTCCATGATTTGTCGTTTATAATTGTCATTTCAAATCTTTAAGTTTAAAATCGTTAGTAATAAATTTCTTCATTTTTAAACTTGCCTCATTATTGAAACGAAACACAGAAAAGGTATAACATTTCTGGTTAATGACAAGCAAAGATCCTAGCTTCCGATTCAAAATAACTTGCTATAAATTAAACTATTTAAATTAAACATTAATCTTTGGATTAAAATTAGACCAAACAGGTTGGTGTATGAACTTAGATCATACATAAGTATCCGGGATATTTATGTATAATATAAGCGTCACAGATTAATATGCTTGGTCATTTTTCGGAATCTCCAACTGAATGCCAACAGAGTTTATTCCAGTGTGTAGTTTAATTCTCTACATGAGTGTTTACAGACAGTAGAGACCCACATGGCAGCATAAAAGGACGCAAAGGTGAGTTTTACATATGTCCTCTTTAAAGTCCTGTTCTGTGGCTTGAAAAGGAGTGTACAGATGAAAGCATAAAGCAGAGTTATGTTGCATGAAACTGTCTGGTGATTGAATTAAGAGTGCATTCAGAAAGTTAGCGAATATTCTTTAACCCGTGTAGAAAGACATTTTTCTCATCAATCTGCAAGCTGTTCTCCACAATCACAAAGAAAAACCAGGTGTTTAAAGTCTTTGTCACATCACTGTCATCCCATTTCTGTCAGCAGTCAACCCAAAAGGAGCCAACCAGTGCTTAAGCTATAATAAAGAAAGACATCAAGAGATGTGAGATCCGGCTGCTCAGTCAAACAAAGTTACTGGGGACACATTTTATTTAAAGACAAGCAATAAACAAAACTACATTCCCTATAAAAGAGATCCAAATTTCTTTTCAGGATGGGAGAGCACCTCATAAGGGCAACCATCTGTGCGAATCTTTAGCCATCAGGCCTTTACAGAAGAACAAAAACCCTCAGCAAACAAAAACAATCTCTAAAGTCAAACATTGAGACAGCAGGAGATGTTGTCTCTGATAGAGCAGGGGGACTAGTCAGAACACATAAAATATGATGAAAAATATTGAGCAATCCGGAGGAAAAAATTTAATATTTCTCATTTTTCTATGGAGATTAAGGTGTCATATGGGGTGATAATTTACATTTCAACAGGGGAAAAAAAACAACCTGAAGCATTCCTCCAGCCTGAGTTTGGATCTGAACCCAGCAGGGGCTCTCATGAGACATGCAAGTGGCTCAAAAAGGATGCACTCCATCCAAACTGATGACATTTAAGCTCTTCTGCCAAGAAGAATAGAGAAAACTTCCAAAGAGGAAAAATGTGCCAGGTGTGTTGTTTGATTCCAAAAACAGACTTCAGACTGCCATCATGCCCCAAACAGAGCTTCAACTGTGTAATTAGTTAAGGGGGTGAACACTTGTGTCAATAAGGCATTTGAGTTTTTTTTTACTCCTGATAAAGTGACAGAAATATAGAATTTCCCGTGAAATCAAATGTTTTAAAGATCAAGTTTGCACATATTTTATCTTTACTTGCAACGGGGAGGGCTGTTGTTGGTTTAGCGTCCAGGAAACGGCAGAGAACGTCTTTGCTAGCAGAAGCTAATTGTTAGCATTAGCAACTCCACAACACGAAGGATTTAGATTTTTTTATCTCCACAAAAAAAAAAAGAATCACAAGCCTGAAGAAGTTCTGTCATGTTATGGAGTTGCTAATGATAATGGTTAGCTTCTACTAGCGGAGATGTTATCAGCAGTTTCCTGGACACTAAACCAACAACAGCCATCTCTGTCATGAGTCAAGATGGGCGAGTCCATGAATGTTAAGGGACAGTGGGACGTAGATCCGTCAGGATTTTTCAACCCTAGCATTTTACCGTTAATTTCTATCAGAAGCTACAGTAAAAATGATTTATCAGTGAACTTAGTCTTTAAAGCTGCTATAACAACATTGGAAAACAAATTAGCTTAAAAGCAGTTTTCATGCCTCTTAACGTTCTAACAGTTTAGCTATAAATATGTGGAGATTAAAAATACTAACAAAAAAAATAAAGTGGTTCTCTAAAATTTATCTTAAAAACCTCGGCCAACATCACGTTTCAGACCACAACCAACTATTGGAACATCTGGTAGTTAGTTTAACCGAACCATGTTTCGGACCACAAATGTGGAGAGGTTGCAGGTTCGAGCCCCGCTCAGTCTGTCGCTGTCGCTGGGTCCTTGGGCAAGACACTTACCATTTTTACAGTCTTTGTATGACCCAACTGTGGATTGAAACCCACAATCTCCCGGCCTCAGTGTAGGCACTCATAGGCCACTGAGAAGTTAGCTCTCCCCCGTATCCTCTGACAATGTGAGTTTCCGGTTCCGGTGAACGCGGATCCATGGAAGCTTCCCGAGGGAAGGGGTGAGTGTTCCGTGACGGTGTTTGCGTTCAAAACCTAGCTCATTTGCAGAATCAGTATAACAACTTTAAAATTTCAAATATCAAGCATCTTATTTACAGATTTATTTATAGCTACACATTTCCAATAAACAGATTTATGCAATTAACCTACTAATTGGTGCCTAGATAATAAAAGACATTTTTGGACAAAATGTGATCTCTAAATTAGTGATGGTCAGAAAAAAAAAACATGCAATTTTAAGATGTCGCCAAACTGGTAAATGCCATTTTTCATCATTTTTTGATTTATTCCAGACTGCAAAGAAAGAGCAAAAAAAAAAAAAAAAAAGCACTAGATGGATTGCCAGTGAAAATAATTGTAAGCTGTACTTCAAGTTTTACAAGCTATAATCAGACTGCAACAGGCTCTGGGATGGTGACTTAACTCATTTACTCTGCAACGAGAGCCTCTCGCTTATTTTTGAGCCTCAGAAAATAGATCTTCAATTTTAATTTGGCTTATTTTACCAAATCTTACTTTCATTTGGTTAAAGGAACCTCTTTTTGGATGTAAAATGGAAGCTGTAGCAGTAGGTAAATGGTGTAACACTAGACACTACTGTGAAAATGTCATATCAGAATTAATGGTGTGATCAAGCCAAAGCCAGCAGCAGCACTGCAGGCTTATGAGGGGACGGCTTGTGCAAGGAGAGTGCAATTCTGCTCACAGTGTGCTGTGCAATGTGGATAGGGAGATAAGCCACTGGCATTTGTTGTGGTTACAGCAGATTATCTACCCGTCTTGTCTTGGTCAGTGTAAACTCACAGTAGACGGTGAGGGGTTTTGTAGCCGTCTGAGCGCTGACGGGGTTGCTGGCGGTGCACGTGTAGTCCCCGGTGTCACCTCGTACGGACGGGCTGATGACCACAGAACCACCCGAGATGGTGATCCTGGAGGTGGCGGAGAGGGTTACGCCGTCTTTGCTCCACTGGACAGCCACGTTTGTCCCAGCAGTCCATGTGCAGTTCAGGGACACATTTTTCCCCTCCATTGCCACGGCTGTAACGGACAGGCTCACCCCGACCACAGCATCTACAAAGACAAAAAACAAAATAAAGGACAGAATCACTCAGAAAATGTCTCTCACATAGCTGTGGACACAGAGCGTATAAAGCGAGAGCACACTTCAGAAGTTCGAAGCGACAGAACAATGGAGAGCAGTTTGATGTCTCTGTTGGGGATAATTTGTTGTAATCAAAGCAAGAGAGCCGAGAAGGGACAGCGTTCAGATAGAAGCACAGATGGTGAATAAGAGGGCAGACGGTGCGAGTGGTAGCCGAGATGCCTTTTGGCAAGCTGCCCAAGTTAAATAATTGGACGGGGAGAAGAGGGGGCGTATGGATGGAGGAGGGAGCTGAGAGTATGAGAGCAGCAAACAAACGAAAACGCTACAGCAGCGACTAAATAAATCTAATTACTTGAATTTTCTTTTTTCTGCAACCCATCGGCCTGCCTGTGACTCAGCAGCAGCGTCTCGCATTTTTAGGCTTCAGCAGCCTCTGATTTTAAGACCAACTAGTGAGTAAATCTGGAGATTTTGCATAACGCTCAAGCACCAGGCTGCTCAGAAAGAAAACCAGCACTCGTGCGTTTGGATGATGTGACCTTTTGGTAGAAGCAGACCGGCTTCCCAACAGTTTGTCGCCTTGTTTTTCCCAATAAGGATGAGATGGATAAGAGTGGCCGTGCGTCATCCCTCCCGTGTGGGCCGAACACTGAAAATATACAGACACTCAGCTGTTCAGGCTCCAATATAGTGCTGAATATAAATGAATGCAAATACAGTATCCACCGTCTCCACATGCAGCGCCACATTTAGAGGATATCAAACATCTAAGAGCATGAGTGGTGCATATCAAATGAGTTTTAATTGGCATAAAGCCCTCAGCTACTTGCTTCTTTCCCTCCTTTTCCATTAATCTTACCTCAATTTCTACGGGTCACTACTTTCATTATACCTCCCAGATTAATTCTCGTACTCCCCGAATCCCTTCCTCTGTACTTTGTCATGTTTCTCCTTAACAACCTCTGCTCAGGTGCACGTCTTTATCACTTACTGAACACACTCAGCTGTACGCTCTTGGAGTTTGAGGTCATGCCGGTGGCGGCGCTGGGGACAACCACCACCGTGTAGTTCCCCGCATCTTGAAGCTGAGCACTCCCGATCTGGAGCTGGGTGGCAGTGACGGAGACCCGGCCCTGAAACTGGGCCACAGGGTTGACCACCGGGCCCGCACTAGTCCACACGGCCAACGCAGTGCTTCCTTGGTACATCCATGTGATGGACAGGACGTTAGACGTGGTTGCCACTGTTAGCACAATATTGGTGCCAGTCTGGATCTGCGCGGGGTCTGGCTGGATCTGGATCGGCACGAGGTTCTGAGCCAGAACGCTGGCAGAGAGAAGAGCTGAAGACAAAAGAGAAGATTTTGTAGTTTAAATGTGCAAAAGAGTTTGCAACAAAGCTGATAAGAAATCACAGTTGTGTGAATTTTTTACCCCTTTGGTGGAACAACTAAATAATTAAAGATGCATCTTTCCTTTGGTTCATAACACCAGTCATCTTCCATGTCAGACTTTTAGGCTAAAATCACCACGATTTTAGTCTAATATTTAAAATAAGGTCATGTACAATCATGTATAATAAATACTGCAAGCCATTAGGCAATCAGACTCCTCTGTATGCTGTAGGGCTGACCCTCAGCTACTACCACGTAGAATTTAAGCTCAACATCTGTAAAAGATCGGCCATCTTGAAGTGGATTCTAAAAGTTAATCATTTAAAAACGTACATCCAATAAAAACACACAAGTTACTTTTGTAAGAAAGATTAATGTAAAAAAAAAACTATTTCAACTTGCTGCTGAGGTGTCATTGAGTAGTTTCACATTTTCAAAGTACTTTTCAATATTTTATAATCATTAGCATTTATTTTTACCATTTCACATACAAACACCATTATTAAAAGACCAAGTTCACTAATTTCTTTTAATGCATTTGCAGTGGTCTCTAGGATGAATGCTTTACGAGTCAACCCCTGCAGAAAAGAAAGCTCTGGTGCGCCCGTTTCAGGAACTACAAGTGAGCTACAGCTGAGGTGAGCAGAACGCAGCAGAAAATTAAGTCTTATTACCTGATATTAGGACATCTCACCTCTGACTGGCTAACAGCATCGCCTCTACCACTGACTGAGTTTGCTCTGCAACGTTGATGTTCTATATCCACAATTAACACCATCCTGAAGGAGCTCTGCTGTGTGGTGGAGTCACTAATGCTAACGTTAGCTTCTACTAGCCGATATGTACTCTGCTTTCTTCTAGACACTAAATCTAGTATGTATATAGTGTCTTGTAGAACCCTACAAGGCACTATATAAATTCAACCTGTTTACCATTCTTGACTTCAACATAACAGCAGCTCCTTTAATTTTAGATAAATGGGTATCGGCAGCTCAGAACTGTTCAAAAATCAGAAATCGGCTTTCAAGTGCAGAATTGGTGCTTCTTTAATTTTTGCACATTTCTATTGTAAAGAAAGATTTCATTTTTGCACATTTCTGTTATAAAGAAAATTTTTATTTTTGCACATTTGTGTTGTAAAGAAAGCTTGAATGTAAACACTCAGACCTGTGAATGCATCAGCTGCAAGTCTTTTGTCTATAATAAAAACAAAGAAGAAAGTAGGTATTTTTCTGACCCCTCTAGTTGGACTACCGCTGCAAAGACTTCACGGGAGACAAGAAAAACAGCAGTGTTAGACAAATTCAGCTTTCCATGAATAATTCTGTCAGGATTTTGGCCTCTTGATAGAGAAATTAGTCAGAAGTGAGAATCACCCATAAATGACACAGCCAGACACGTATGCTTTCATCTGCTGTTTTTTTTTGTGTGTGTGTGTGTGTGGGGGGGGGGGGGGGGGGGGGGGTCCTGTTTCGTTGTACTTGAGGTGTTCAAGAGCAACATCTGCATAAATAACTTAAATCTACCACGTGTTATAAAACTAATTACAAATTAAATGGACTGAGTGGATGGAAAAGGCTTGCATGAAAATATTAGTTTATATTGAGGATTTTTAACATTCAGTTGGTTTATTAAGAGAAAATAAATTTTGAATTACCGTAAATCCTCTAATACAGGCCCGGGCCTGTATTTGACTCAAGCTCATCAAGCTCCAGGCCTTTATTGGAAGGAGGGCCAGTATTAGAGGCAGGCCTCTATTTCTATTTGAGCAAAATGAACTAATGGTTCGCTGGAGTTTTTGACAATTAAAATTGCGCCCACATTTTCAAAGTTAAACACATTTCTTTTAACAACGGTAGTTCCTGCTTCAGCCCTCTCCCCCCTCCCCCTGCGCAGCTGCTGCAAACTCACTGATGCGCCTGCAGCCTCTCGGAGTTCCTGCTGCTCTAAACATTAAAATAATTATTTCATTTTCTGTTCCTCACTTCTGATGACCTTCAATGGTGTCTGTTTGTTGCAACAGCAGGTACAAAAACTAACTTGTTTTTATTTGACTATTTTTCTGTCCTGTCTGTTTATTATCTTCCTGCATCTCCTCTCAATCCTAAAGAAAAACTGCTACCTGGGTTCATATATATTCACCTCATGAGTTACCTTTGAACTGCAGTTCTAAAAGATCTACCGACCGCAAAAACAGCGGAGCTTGCTGTTTGGCGGCTGTATCAGTGATCAGTGCGTCGGAGGACAAGGTGATGCGCGCAGCGCCCCGCTCCACAGCATGCAGCGAAACACATCAGGCGCAAATAAAAGACAGAAAACATTAAAGGAAATGAACTGACATGAACGATCGCGTGTTAAATTAGTTTTTGAGGTGGCGACACCTGATTGTTCCTGTGGCCGTGCTCAGGAGGCAGATCTACCGACCGCGAAAACAGCTGAGCGCTCCCTGCTGTGATCTGTGCGTCGGAGTACAAGTTGATGCGCCCCGCTCCACAGCAGCGATACACATCAGGCGCAAATAAAAGACAGAAAACATTAAAGGAAATGAACCGACATGAACGATCGCGTGTCAGTACCTACGGTCTGGCACTTGAGTTTTACCCCCAAAAAGAGAATCTGATCATACGATAATTCAATAGGGAGCGTGGTTTCACAGACGCGGAAGTGATAGCGTCGGTGAAACGCCGGCTGCTCTAGGAAACCCCCGAGCGTTCGAGCGTCAACGAAGTGACACGGAAATGCCGGGCTTTCCAGAAGTAAGTAAGATAACTTACTATGAGCTGATAGTTCATTGGATTGATCGGTAAGTTGGAAACTCTGATCGTGAATCTGAAGAAACGATGACTGAGTGGTGAGCTGGAAAGGCGACTTCCGTTTATAGCCGCGGTTTGTGACGTAGGTGCGACGTGAAGGGAATCCCCGCGAGGGGCATGCTGGGAGTCCCTACTTCGCGGATTTTCATCTATCGCGGCCAGGTCTGGAACGCATCTACCGCGATAAACGAGGGATTGCTGTAGTTCATACACCCCCTACTGCTGCTCTCCAGAGTGTTCTGCAGCATAATCAGCACGTTCTCTTTGAACTTGATAGTGTAATGACCTGGCTGGGGTTGTAAGCCAGGTGCATTCTGGGTATTGTGTTATATGTGTTTCCCATCGTTCTGCTAGTTCCTATGTGCTGATTTGCGTGTTGTGTGAGTGTTATGTAAGCCACAGGGAAGGTGATGTGTGTTCTGTGGAGCGGGTTGAATTAGCATGGTTAACTGACACCGTGACTCTGTGTGGTAGGAGCGTGATAGAGGATCGTGTCTGTAGCGTCACAAAGCGTTGAAGAAAAGGCCTAAAAAAGGTCTGCGTGAACCTCTACTGCCTCCTGCTGGTTGATTTGGGGACTATAACCCTGTCGCTGGGGCGTTCGTACTTGCTTGTTACCACATGCCATCCGGCCACAATAAGAGACCGGCCATTATTTACCTCCGCTGACTCCGACACCGGCCAGAATTGGAGACCCGGCCTTTAATTGAATACCGGCCTGTATTAGAGGATTTACGGTATCCCTTTTCTTTCATTTGAACCTAACTGAACTCTGTTCTTGTGTTCAATGATGTATTTATCACCAATTATTCCTCCAAACCACATCAGAGAGCTGCTGCTGACATTCAGCAATGAAAAAGCAAAAATGTGTCCATGAACATTTCAGACTGAATCACTCTTGTGTAATTATACTGCAGCAGCAAAATGTGTATTTAATCATTTGAAAGTGTCACTAAATATTACTTCAATTAATATATTTCATGCACGAACTACAGCTCCTCAGTTAATAAACAAATGAAAATATAATTTACATTTTTGGAGCTCATTTTCTGGGATCGTCTCACTGCAGCAGCTCAAATACTCCGACGTGACCTTTGTTCGATCCTTTTTACAAGTATGCAAATAATTTGTATTTTTGTTAAAATCCTAGAAAACAAAACCTGCAACGTTTTTATTACTCTGCCTCCTGATAACCATTTGGTCCAGATGATTCTAGAAGTGTTTTATTTTTTATTATTAATTTTTTTTGGTTTTGCAAAAATGTTTAAACCCTAAATGTTGCTTTCTGTTTTGTTGTTTCCTCATATATCTAAAGATTTTGTACTAAATGTAAACAAAAACAAGCAAATGAAAGTGGCAACTAGACATGCTTATGGAAGCCCTTTCTTGCCACTTTGATTAAAAAAATATGTCAAACTCATGACTTAGTATCTCATAATCATAGTAATGAGATACTATCTCATAATTATGAGTTTGTATGTCATTATGATGAGATAGCCAAGTCATAATTGTGAGATATTTTATATCAGAGTGGCAGGAGTAGTCTTCCATACTTGTTTCAGGGTTGCATTTATCAAAACAGAAATATTGTTTACCGAGGCCTGCTGTGGCTCTTTTCTCCAGAATACTTTACTTTGCAACACACTGTATACTACACCTGTTTTCTGTTGTTTTACCCTGATTATTGTTTGTTGTTTTTTTATTGCACAAGTACAAATGAAGCTTTATCTTTCTATTAAGAAAGAATAATGACATTTTGGAGTTTTGGTGAAAATAAAAGTGCAGATGAACATTTTATGCATCATAACAATTTCAACAGAATTCAACACTATTTTCCCCATCCCGTGTGTGAGAGAATCAACTTACACATGCAAGTCATGTTTCATTTATTTATTTTTTCTTATTTGAAAAATCTTTTTAGTTTGTTTCTGTCAGACAGCCACAATGTTCAGGCTCGCTTGGCTGTAAACACTGATCATTTGTGCTGCTAACTTATTGGGAAAAAAAAAGCATCTAACTTGGGTTTCTTTTTTCCCCTCAAGATTCATTGTTTTATTTTATGTTTTTTTTATCATCTATAAATTGCTAGGGAATATTTATGTCTGGGACTCAATCAGCCATCTTTACAGCTAGTAATCCATTATGATGACTACTTAAATCTATTTTTAGGACTAAATAACTTTTAAAAGTACTTTTTTCCCCCCAATACGAGTAACTTTCACGACTTCAGTCATAACTACAGTGTTCTAGTTGGTCTATCGTTTAAAGAAACAATAATTGCCAGGTTTTTTTTTCTAGTCGTGTGTTGACATTGGGATTTCAGAGCCGCCATGAAGGCATCCCTTCGCAGCAGAATGCAGCCGCGCTGGTTTGTTTTGTTGAAGTTCCTGGAATATTTCAGCTGTCCCTCCCTCCTTTGGTTTCTACTTCTTTTTTAAGACTTTACCGACTCTCTTCGCACGTAATAATTAACTACTATAAAGAGATACCACCGGAAGAAGCGCGGAAAGTGTCCAAAAGGCTTTACCTGCCAGGAACAGACTGATGAAGAGCTCAGGTAGTTTCATATCGTTAATCAGGCCAGTCTGCAGAAAAACACGAGATTTTATTTAATACATAATATTTTACAGAAAAATCTGAGTTCGACGCGTTTTAGCAGTTCGTTTATTAGCTAAATCGTTTCTGTGTTTTTGTTTACTCGTTTAAACATTGATAATGAACTCTCTCTCTTTAAAAATGATCAGAAACTTAAAGATTATTAATTAAATCTTACCGAAGACTTTCCCTCCTTCCCTCATGATGATTTTAAGACGAAACGAATCCCAGCATCCTCTGCATTCGATTAAGGAAGAGATTACTTCCGGTCTGATCACCTGCCGACGACACACCTGTTCTCTTAAAGGGCCCGCACGTATTTTTCTTTTAAAAAGTTTTTAAAAGAACAGCATGAAACATAAAGTCTTGTTTTTTCAACTTTGATCTTTTTTAATTCGAAGTCGTTAGGAATCTTGTTACAGTTGCCCTGAAGTTCGGATCTGATGAAGCAGGTAAATTACAAGGTCTCAACACCTTCATCTTATAATTAACCTGCTGCTCACCTGTGCTCTGAACTGACCTGAAACATGAACTCCCTTCATTTTGCACGAGGAAACAGGAATACTTTGCTTTGCAACACACTGTATACTACATGATGTCTGCTAATGTGAAAGTGGGAAAAGTGTTGATAATCCTTAATTGTTGGGATTAAAACGAGCCATAAATCCCAGTTTCCAGCCCTTCTCTGAGGTCAAAGAACCCAGTGAGCAAATCTGGTTCCCGTGATTATTCATAAACCATTTAAAAATAAATGCATTTATTCTCACATTTAAAACAAATGTGACTCCAAGCTTGTTTCTAACAAAGGGATTCTTATGAACAAGTTCCAGTGTTCAAAAAGAGGGTTGAATCCATAAAATAGGACTTCATCTGTACAGGTGATAAATAAAATTACATACATGCATTTCTATTTTTTTATTTTATTTTGCAGTCTTTTAACAAAACCACCGATTATAAACAAATACATTTTGTACTGTTTATCTGCATTGATTAGATTGTTTTTAGATACTTAGTATTAGATTGAATTTGGCATTTTGGGTAAACATGAAAGAATAAGGGTTGAACACCCTGTCACTTATGACACACTGGAGACAATCTGCATCCTAAAGTACCCTTTTGCCGATAAATGTGTAATTATTATACTTATTCTTAACACCTTAAATGAATGTCAGTCTGCTGCGTTCTGTTGTTGGATAATGTCGTTTTAATCCCCGTCTTCTACATGCAGAGAAAAGATGATTAAATAAATGTTCAAGAGGACTCCCTCCATCTGAAATCATAAGTGGAACCGGTTTTGTTATTAGAAAATGTCGTCCTAATACATGTTCTCAAACATTAAGAGTTCATTTGTATCTATCATTGTTCATAAAACGTGTTTTTAAATAAGCTATGTAAGCTGGACGTTCCTTGGATGTGGGTTCACTGGGGGTGTCTGGGACTGGAGGGCCGTTGCCCCCCTCTGGAGGTGCTTGGGTTGCCTCGGGGGGTGGACTGTTGGCGGTTGTGAGTGGGGCCCCTTGGAGGTCTTGGCGGTGGCTATGGGTTACTGCCCGGCGACTGCATTGCCCCTGGGCGGGTCTGGGTGGGGGCCTGGGGGCTCGGGGTGTGGGGGTGGCCAGCCCCGTGGGGGGATCTGGGCGGGGCCTTGGGTGTCGGGTCCTGACATGTATGCTGCCAGGGAGAAGGCAGGAACATGCAGCAGTGCTTGACTCGGGTTCAGGGGCCTCGGGTAGACCTTGGCTCCTCTGCTGTCCCATCACAGGGGAGGGGGAAGTCCAGGAGGGGGAGGACCCAACCTTACATGGATGTCCTGTGTCTTTTATAGTCTGGAAGTTGTGCAAACGCAGGGATGGGCATAGATATTCTGCTGGGGTGGGGCTGGGTTGGTGCCCTCGGACTCCGTGAGGCTCTGTGATGCTGCTGCTTTGGGCCCTGGCAGGATGGGCTGGGGTCTCCATGCCCTGGATGGCATTTTGACAACAGAGGTGCCTATTGGGGCCAGTGGGGGAGCTGGCTCCCTGGAGGGCTAAGCCCAACCAGCCATTCCTCCCCATCCCCACACATTTCTCTCCTCCTGCTCCCTCACATCATCACACAAACATGCACATAGGACCTTGGGGGGTGGACAAGTCAGGGAGTGCGGGTATGGACCCCATTTCTGCATTCCTGTGGCAACCTGCCCCCCAATTTTATCTGCACCTTAAACACTTCCACCAACGGCATTCCACGCAAACACACACTTAGGGCCTTGGGAGTGAGCACATTCAACGGCATTTGGCAGGGGGATTTCTCACCCCAAGTGCCGGTGCCCACTTCCAATTTTAAACTGCACTTAGACACCGAGGGCTGTGGGTGCAAGTGGGGTGGTGTGGTGGCATCAGCTGGCATAGGCCAGACAATGCCCGCACTGCCCGCTCACCACAGCCATGGAATACACCTCATCAACACTCACTAACACCATATTGGAGCAGGTGGAGGGAGACTAGGGGTCTTAGCACACCTCTGTTTTCGCTTGGCTTCCTGGGACTGGAGGCTAGGAGGGAGATCTGGCCATCCAGTTGGGGTCTGGGGTGGTGGGTTGCTGTGCTCAGCATTGGGCGGGGGAGCCTGCTCATCAGCACCCCAGCAGAAAGGGTCAAACTCTTGGAACCGGCAATGGTTGTACCCCATGTGCAGTACCGGGACCAGAGTGAATAGGGTGTGTATGGGGAGCATGAGTGGGTGTCCGGCGTGCATTTTTGTAAGTATTTGGTTGTTTGTGTATGTGTGAGCATGAGGGAGGGAATGTGTGACTGTGTTTGTGTATGACTGTGTATGTCAGGTGGGGCCTTTGACTCCTCCTTTCTCCTGGGACTTCTTTTGGTGATATAGATCTCCATCTCCCCTCTCCCTGCCACACCTGGTCTGGAGTGCGGTGCCTTGGTCTGCCTGGGTCGTGGCTCCCGGGTCAGGGATTTTAAGATTTTTGGCGTCTGCCTGACCAATCCCAGTGGCTGCCTGGTGGGGTCTGGGTCCCTGGGCTCTGCTGGGTCCCCAGCGGGGGTGGTCGCCCCTGGGTCCCGGGTCATTGGGTCCCGGGACTCGGCCGGCTAGGGGGAGGGAGGCAGTGGGCGGGCCTGTGGGCTTGCTGCCAATATCTCCCGGGACTCTGCCGGCTGCTGGTTGTGGCCCTCCGGGGCGATCATCTGTGCCTCTCGAGGGGAGCGGGGGCTTTTTTGGTCGCAGACTCCCTGGAGTTCCTGTGCTCTGGGGCAACTCCTGGATCTCTGGGACTTGGGGCTCCCTCCGACTCCTGCACATCTTTAGGGGGCAGATCTGTGGCCCCTCACACTCTCTATTGGACGCTCCTATAGAGAAACCTTACACAAACAAGCCCATGTATACACACGTGCTCACCTGGTGCTCTCATAAGTATGGACTTGGGCACGTTCAACACAGGTCTTAAGGCTATGGTGGGCACTTAATGCACTGTGATTTATTATCGTGTGATTGTTCAGTTAAACAATGTTGATGTAGTTCTTCATCAAGTTGACGCAGTGATAGCTTGATCTTGACACCCCCCCCCCCCCCCCCCCCCCCATCTTTTGTCTCTTCCTTTCTCTTTCACCTTTGTCTCCGTGTCTGGTCGGAATTAAAAAGCATTCAGAAACAATAACAATAAAGTTTTAAGTATCAGGCGTGACATTAAAAGCAGACGCTTTGATGCTCCCCCTGAGAGTAAGTCTGTAAGGCTTGTCACCAGCATTCAGCCATCAATTCTGTTTGCTTCACAGCCAGACAGGACACAAAATTTTTTTAAAAACATAATTAAATAAATAAGCTATGTTATAACAGAATATGATGAAGTACTCAGGCATTTACATTATTTGGAGAAAAAAATATAGAAAGTTTTATGTTTTATTGTTTCTTTTTTATTATCTGGCCTCCACCTGCTTCAGATTATATCATGTTTTCTTTTATCCAGTTTTCTGGATGCTGAACAGTTTTGTTCCAGGATATCTGTGTTGCTTTAATTCTGTGACATATTAGGTGTTAGCCATTTGAAGCGCACATCTGGATTTTATGAAACATTTTAACTAGGTGTGGGCTTTGTAATTAAATAATCTTGATTAATCACATTTTAATAGTTCAAGACAATTTGCCCTAAATCTATGTTTTTCATTCTAAATAATGCTAGTGAGGCACAGATGACATACCTGCACTTTAATGAGTATATTTCTGGTATATATCATTACTTTGGTCTCATTATGAAGGTAACCATTGTGGGGTTTGTTGGGATGTGTTAGTATTAGTATAAGTATATTTGTAAATGTTGTGTGCTGAACTGAACACTAGGTGGCAGCAGAGCACTGCTAATATATATAGAGGTGTAATGTAGAGTTCTAGAGAAGTTCTGCTGAGGGTTACAGTAAGAATGCTGTGTGTATGCTGGTTCTGCCTGCTGTAATAAGAGATGAAGGATGGATAAAGTTACTGCATGCCTGCTTTCTACCAACTACAAAACATAACATCCATCCATCCATCCATTGTCTGAACCCGCTTTGTCCACGTAGGGTCGCGGGGGTGGGGGACAAAACATGACAGTAAAAATAATATATTTTTTGTCATGATTCATTTAATTATATTTTTTGTTGTGCTTGGAGCACGTAAAACCTTTATCTGGTCTCGTAGCCCTGACTCTTCAGGTTTTTAGAGGTGCAGTTTGATGATGCTTATTGATAAATAGGGCATACATTTTGATTCAAAACCTTTTTGATTACCAACTGGAGGGCGCCCGGGCAAAAGTGGCACATTTTTAACACATTATTTATTTTGAAAAAATTGTGGTAATTAATTTATGGTAATTAAGGCATTTATTTCCACCCCCTAGTTTTAACACAAATGATTCTTCCTGACAGTTGGACTGCCTCTATGAAGAAAGAGGACTCTTGCATAATAAACACAAGACTTCTGGTAAACTGCCTCCTTCACTAATAACCACTCTTACATTATAACTTCCTCCATAGCTCATCAATTACATCAGAACACGTGGATACTAACCCTGGTGGAGAACCCTCATGGACCTATTAGGCTTTAAGTTGTAGTTACAGATGTAGCTTGGTGGTGATCATCTGACATAAACCATAAATCATCTCTTGTCATCATGCCGTGTTTCTGGAGATGCTTCATTTAAATATTCTGTTATGTAAAAGCTGGTCCTCTGAGGAAAATGCAGACTGCATGAACAGAGCCTGGCTCCCCAAAGCTCCTGGTCTCTATAGCAGCCTTAATCCGAATAATCCAGTTCTGCCCCCAAATCCTCCATCTTTCCTCTTTAGTGTCATCAAATTAAAACTCCTTCTCTCATCCTTCGCTCCTTACTGAAACATCAAATCTTGGTGTTCAACAGTAACACTTAAAAAATTAAAAGCACTTTGTACGGCAACATAGACCCACACAAAATAAAACTGGACCAATATCACATAACTGCATCTTAACTTTATTGTTCTAACAATATAATTTTCACATTATTACAGTATGTTATCACGTTTTATACAATCATGTTCTAACAATCGAATTTTCATGTTAGTACAATGTTTTATTTCTATTATAATATTTATACAATATAATATTTCTATTATGTAAACAGATATGGCTTCACATATAAGAACTGTTCTATTTTTTGTCAGTCCGATGTTGGTTTTATGCAGTTTCACATTCTTTACAAAACAAAGATAATATGGTGTTTTATTAACAAATTACAATTATAAAGAAAACATTTAGGTGTTAACAAACACAAATTTATTAACAAAACTGCTGATGTCTTTCCAAAACGAGTGTGAAAGCCGAGTAGATTTGCAGTCATGTGACGTCATCGGGAGTCGAAGGACCCCGAGTCGATCCTGCACCCGAGCAGATCCTGTACCGACACCGGGACTCATTGTGGTTTCCATGGAAACTGGACAACAGTACGGAGGCAGCCATCTTGCATCGGGGTCTGGTGTTGTCACTCAAAAGAAAAAAAAAACAATGGGCAGAACACAACAAAACGGGACAAACACCAAATAAACAGTTAATAATAATACGACCAACACCCAGGGGTCGTAACAATAGCAGTATATGTGTACAAACTATGGAAACAGGAGAAAATTCCTGATGCCTACTGTAAAGGCTGGATTATTCTACGGTTGTTAGATAGGAGCCACCCACCGGATAATTCCAGCTAACAGCACTTCTCTGTGGACAAAGACCCAGTGGGATCCACAGCTGTGGTTCCTGTGATTATCCATAAATCCTTTACACATAAAAAAAAGATTAATTATTACTTAGAAAGCACTTTTATCTGGGCCCCAGGTTGCACCTCCTAAAGGGAAAAATGGTATTTATCTCCTAAGAGGTCTTTGTGACTCAGAAGGGTTTGTTGTTGTGGAGCTTTTAATTTTAACTTTCATTTGTTTATTTTGATTATTTGAGATTAAAACATTTGTGTTTCAAACAGCCAAAACAGAATTCTGCAATCTGCGGTTCTGGAGCGGCGTGTGGCTCTTCAGCCTCTCTGAAGTGTGGGCGGGGCCTCAACATGAGTAACAATATTTTGTCTGACAATAGAAAAAGGTGCTTTTAGCCATTTTCTCATCAAATCTTCTGCAAAAAGTTCTTGGATTTTGTGTTTAACCCTCCCACTGTCCTGATGGGTGACCCCGCGAGGAAAGTTGTGGAGTGAGCATTGCTCTACTGTCCTCGCGGGGTCACACCCATTAGGACAGTGGGAGGGTTAAAGAGAAAGAGGAAGGTCAGTAGCTGGTATTAATGCACACAGCTTTAAATCATTTCAGTAAAATTATTCTTTAACAATATCAGTTTTTCTGTTGAGCTTATAGTTTTGTTATTTTCACACAACTTTCTGACACATTTCACTCTAAATCTACCAGAAAACCAAAATGTTCCCAAATATTGTGGATTAAATGCAGAAAGTTACTGTCAGGGTCTGCTCCACCCCCTCTGACTCGTTCTCGTTCTCCCCTCATTACTTGTTTATTGGACTCTCCTCGTTAACCTACCCAGGTGATCCTTATTATCCTTGAGTATTTATTCCCCGGTTTGCACTTTTCCTTCCTCAGATCACTGTGGTGACCTCACCGTGTAACGTTGCTCCTGTTTGTGTCATCCTATTTGCCTTTTTTCTACCTTTTTTACCTGATCTGCTGTTTCTGCCTCCCGGTCCAGCTCCACCACACATGGGTTCACAATCTCGGATGCAACGTGACAGAATGATCTGACCAACCTGACCCTGTGGTGAGCTTCATCAACTGCCTGGAGGATTTTTTGCTTTGTCTTTGCTGCAGCAGAAGGAGTTTTGTATCTGTGGGTTTTGGCACATCCTGTTTCTAGGTGGTTGCACTCATTCTCCTCTCCTCTGCTGCCCACTCTGCCCTGGCTTTTCCACGGAAGCTGCAGTTATCCAACGTTCGTCAGGTGGTAGGGCCTGTCTCCTCGTTCCTTTGCTGCTTCCTTCATCTGAGCTTCTGTCCCCCCGTTTCATGTCCAGAGCTCCTTCGGGTCCCTCGTCTTGTACCCCAGCGTTATTTCGTATTTAGTTTCATGCCAAACAATTTTTTTATTTTTTTTTTTCTGACAGGGACGTCTGCTTTGTCCTGACCGGGAGGATCTGTTTTCGAAAAGAAAGCAGGGATTCCCTGCAGGACCTTTGGAGAATGGGTTGTGATGTTTGACTGCGAACGGACACGAGCACCTGCGTTTACCCTCAGGCGGATTTCGTCATCAGTCGATTGCGGAGGAACATGCGTAGGAGTTGTTAACGTTTCACAAATTAGGAATCTGGCCGTTGGTGCATTTATCCGTGTTTCTACATTCCATCATTGAGAATCATTTCTGCAAACATTTGATAAATGAGGTCCCTGGATTTGATTCTGTCTGGATGAAGCCCAAGGACTGATCCATCAGTCCATCTCTCCCTCCACCCTGCCGTCACTCTTCAGCCAGACACCAGGATACTTGAACTCCTACACCTGAGGCAGGGATTCACTCCACTGACTCCTCTCTGCTGAATCGCCACGTGATGGAGAGCATCGAAGGAGCTGCCCCGGAGTCGGGGAATTTCATCAGCAAGTGCCCAGTGGTCAAGCCTTGGATCCAGGTTTGTTCTGAAGAAAGGTCCGGAGGCCGCCTCCATGTGGGAGGAAGACTGAATTGTAAGGTGGATGGCAGGTGAGGACGTGGGCCTGAGGGATTAGCTCACTGGGTGAGGCTAAATGGATCAAAATCCCTCACTGAGTTTAAACACCAGTTGGTTTTATTGTGATTTGGGAAAATTAAAAACAAAACTTTCCCATCGATTCAAATTGTCGGCATTCCCCTTCACGTCCTCGAGCGAGCTTCTCAGCTGCAGACCAGGAACAATTATTGGAAAGAAAAACGAACGGAGCCGATCTCATGCCGCATTCTTCCACATCGGTCACATTATAAAGTCCAGACAATGTATGCCATGGTCTGAATGAGAAGCCCGGAGCGCAAAGCCTGTTTCATAAAAACGTCTTTTCCCCTTGCAAAGAACACACCATTGCATTTTTATCCGTGTTTACAAACAGTTCAACAAAAGATCCGTGAGTGTCCATGGGTCGAACACGTCGCATTGTCGAGGGAGCGGGGCCTTGAAACGCAGGTCAGAGAAAAGTGGAGGTGGCGTGGGAAGGGGGAGGGATTTGTACAATAGAAAGCTTATTTACTAAATAAACAAAGAAAGAACTGAAAGCACAGGAAGGCTGACGTGGGCCGTGTGGAGGAAGGAAACCAGCTGAAAACAAGGAACGCCTTCATAGGACACTCACACACAGCCTGAGCCTGAGGTGAAACGGGCCGCTCCAAAAAGTTTCAGTCGGGTTAGAAACAACTTCTCAGGATGTAACAGAAAGGGCTTCAGAGGTGTTAATTTATTTAAAGCCATAAATCTACTCGCAGACTGAACCGCGCTGCAATTTAAACCCGAGACGACGGCGTGGAAGACTCTTCTGCACTTCCCATCGGTAGGTGAATCTCACTTTAACTTCAAGGTAAACAACAGAAGTTCCAGGATGTGATAAATGCACAGAGATGGTGTTCCTGTGCTCTTATCAGCTCTCTCTCTCTCTCTCTCTCTCTCTCTCTCTCTCTGCGTGGAGCAACAGTTTCAAATGTTTTTATTTTTACAAAAGCTGTTTTGGCAGCAGACTGTTTTGTTCTGATGCTCTCTGCTGAGCCAAAGTTCTGCTCTTAGGATGCTTCACAGATAAAATAAAAGAATTCGCTGAATGTTTGAACTTCATTTTTTATTATTGATGCATGTTTTTTGGGGGGGTAGTAATTTTCTCTGAAGGTGATGTTATTCTTTGCCGCAGCGGCGCGCCTGCAGCCCGAGTGCACAGGAAATGGCGAGCTGCTGCTGAGGTCGTGGACACATTCCCTTTCTCTGCTGTCTCTCTGCACCAGCGGGTGTTATGGATCTGCTGGGTTTCATGTGCTGGACAGTTGCCCCACTGCTACTCTTGTGTAAGGCTTTTTCGTTGCAACCGCTGCAACTAATGATTTGGAAATGGGTGGAAAATAACTGCTAACACATTTTCTTACATGTGTTGCTTTTGTTCCATTTTTCAGTTTTTAAAACCAAACTAGGCCTTTTAAATCTCTCACAGCACTCAGAATCTCCAGCCTTAAGACATTGCACCCTTACGTAAACACAAAGGACTTCTGGTAAACTGCCTCTTGCATTAATAACCGCACTTGCATTATTTACACTTCCTCCACGGTTCGTTGATTAGCTTAAGACACATGATTAATAGCCCTATTGGTAGGTGCACACAAGCTTAGCAGGCTTTGACACAGGCTTTAGGATACTGATGTGGTTTGATGGATATCACATTAGGCACAGATGACATGCACCATAAATCACCGCTTGACATTATTTGACAGAAAGTAGCCACATGCCATGTGTTGAAACATATGTGTGTTATAGAGAAGGCGTGTTTCCTCTGTTGGCTTTTGATCATGTGATCAAACGAGTGAAACAGCCAACTTTAAGTTGTTTTAGTAACAAATGGTTCAAATCTTATGTTCTCAGTGCCGTGTGGGTCTCAGTGCATGACGGTGCACGTCATCAATGAGCAGCCTGTGTATATAATCCCTGGCTCCACTCTGGATCTCAAAGCCCGAATCAGGATGAGTCCCCTGGAGGAGATCTCCATGGTAACCTGGGAACGGGAGCCCGAAACCGGGTTTGACCCGGTGAGAGTGACACTGGCCACATGCAGCGGTGGCGTCCTGAAGTGCGCCGGTACAAGGCCAAACGTCCGTGTGAACACAGAGCAGCAGGAGACGACACTTCAGATTAATGGATTCAGCAGAGCAGACAGCGGCGAGTACTCGGTGACTGTGACGGATCGCACAGGAGCCAATACCTCTGCACACTGCATCGTCAGGGAATACGGTACAGTACGATGAGCAGCATGGGAGGACTGTTACTCTAATTAGGTGCAGAGTCACCTCATTACTGTCTACTAGGATAAGTTAGAGCATCTTTTAACCAGTTGTGTCCATCTTTTTAGGGGATTCAGTTTAGTGCATGCATTAGACAAAGATTTGGTTTGCATTTTCAAGAAAATTAACATTATGAGACATGCCAGGTCAACTTTGTATGTAAAAAATGTAAAAATAAAAAATAAAGTATGTAAAAAATGCATTAATGTAGATAAAGCACTAAAAGAGCATTTTATTCATATCTATTTATCCTTTGATGCTCTTTTTAAAACCTAGGGCTGTGCTTCTGAATTTGTGGGGCGTGCCCTCTGGGGACGTGGAGGGGTGTCTGGGAGTGAGAAGCAGGAGGATCCCAAGGCCTAGTCCACGTAGCCGGGTTTTTTTTTTAAACGAATATCCGCCCCTCCAAAAACTTGCATCCACACCACCTCGTTTAAAAAAAAAACTCTGTCCACACGTACCCAGATAAATACGTTGTTAAGGACATGCCAGACCTGTAGGCGGCAGTACTTCCCCTGTTCTTAACCTCATCCTTCGTCTGTGGTTTTCCGCAAGGAGCAGTAATTCCGTTTGCAAAAACAAACAAGCAAAAAGCGCTTGGACAATTGATAAAGCGAGCGCAGCTCTGAGGGCATCCATGCTGTCGGCTAGTGTAAACACAAGTCGCTCACGTGATGTCAGCATTTTTCTGACGCGGAAAGTGACGTTGCGGACCTTAAAACTCCGGTTTTGTCTGTCCACAAGCAGACACCCAAAACGGAGAAAACGCAGATCTTCACTTTGGCTGGAGTTTTTAAAAAGATCTGATTTCGTGTGAAAAAACTCCGTTTTCGTGTGGATGACAGGCCGAAACGTAGAAAAATATCTACGTTTTGGCAGATCCCCGGCTACGTATGGACAGGGCCCAAGTCTTTTTTTCATGTATGACTGATAAACCAGCCTCCGGTCACTGGGTGGCAGTATAGCTCAGACTAATCAACAGGCTGCCAGTTTAACCCAGAGAGAAAATATCACAAAGCCTTTTGATTTGCTGTAAATATGGTCAGAAATGAGGATAAATCCTCAGTATCTGAGCTAATGTGCTAAAAGTTTTCCTTTCCCAGCATAAGCATTCAGATGAACTGTTAGAAGATGACTAAAGTTCCACAATAATAATAAACAGAGGAGATGTTGAAGTTACAACATTTTTCTGAAGCACGTGGGTCTGTTCAGTGTAAAAAAAAGAAAAAGAAAGAATAAACATTACAAGAACCGTGGCTAGCAAGTGGTTAGCTTAGCATGCTAACCACAATGGGTTGAGGGTGAAAAAGTGTCATGATCCCTTGGGGGAGGCATGACACAAAATGATTGAGACCCATTTGGTAGAGACCATCAAACCTTCCTCTCCCCACAGCTTGTTGCTCATCCAGGGGATTTCCGGGCATTCCTGGGCAAACTTATATAATCTTTTAACTGGTCCTGCGTCTGTCCCGAAGAATCCTTCCAGATGCAAAAACCACTTCAACTGTCTCCATAACGTCAGTCTGAGCTCCACGCCTAGTCCCAGACCTCACTCCCAGCAGCCACTCTCCAGAGGCCCCACGGGGGCCACAGGTGGGGTGGGAGTGTAGCTCAGTCGACAATTGCAGCTTCACCTTCAGACTCAGTTCTCTCTTCACCACGACAGAACTATTCAGCATCATAGCAGACCAATTTGCGACCACCTAGAGTCACTTATTCTCAAACCTGGAGTTGTCAATCCAACTCAATGTGTCTCAGAATTGGATTTGCAGCAAGACCACATCGTCTGCATAGACTCTTTAGGACTCTCCCCTCCTTGGTTGCACCAATCAGTGACAAGCGTGATCTTTGTGGTGTTCAAGACCCCCCGAAAATGAGCCTGGCTGATTAAGGGCAATGCAAAATGTACAAGGACTAAATGGCCCCAGAAGGAACCTGAAGTACCTCCCAATGGATTACCAAAACGGACAGGGTCTTAACTCTTCTCCAAGTCAACTAAAATCACTATGGGAAATAAATGCATGCACCATCAAATATGTTTGCAAGAATAAAGATTTGGTGTAGTGGGCAACAACTAAGACAAGAACAATTAAGCCTGAGGTCTGACAATTACTCGAACTCTCCTTGAAGATATGAGTTGCTGGAGATATGAGATATGGGATACTGCATCAGAACTGAAGCCTTGACTTTTTGATAATTAGATGTTTTAAACATGTATTGTGTTTTGGGCAAACCTGCAAAACCTCAAAAGGTTTCTTTTTTTACTTTTATAGACTATTTAATTTATTATTCCATCCATCCATTTTCATCCGCTTATCCGGTGTCGGGTCGCGGGAGCAGTAGGCTAAGTCGAGAGGCCCAGACTTCCCTCTCCCCAGCCACTTGGGCCAGCTCCACTGAGGGAAACCCAAGGCGTTCCCTGGCCAGGTGAGAGACATAGTCCCTCCAACGTGTCCTGGGTCTACCTTTAGGCCTCCTCCTGGTTGGGCGTGCCCGTAAAATCTCACCAAGGAGGCATCCAGGAGGCATCCTGACCAGATGCCCGAGCCACCTCAATGGGCTCCTCTCAATGTGGAGAAGCAGCAAATCTACTCTGAGCCCCTCCCGGATTGCTGAGCTTCTCACCCTATCTCTAAGGGAGAGCCCAGCCACTCTTTGGAGAAAACTCATTTCGGCCGCTTGTATCCGCGATCTCGTTCTTTCGGTCACTATCCAAAGCTCATGACCATAGGTGAGGGTAGGAACGTAGATTGACTGGTCAATCAAGAGCTTCGCCTTCTGACTCAGCTCTCTCTTCCACATGACAGACCGGTACAACGCCCGCATCACTGCAGATGCAGCACCAATCCGCCTATCGATCTCACGCTCCAGTTTCCCTCACTCGTGAACAAGACCCCGAGATACTTAAACTCCTCCACTTGGGGCAGGACGTCATCCCTGACCCGGAGAAGGCATTCTACCCTTTTCCGAATCAAGACCAGATGGTCTCAGATTTAGAGGAGCTGATTCTCATCCCAGCTGCTTAACACTCGGCTGCAAACCGCTCCAGCGAAAGCTGAAGATCACGTTCTGATGACGCCAATAGGACCACATCATCTGCAAAAGCAGACACCTGATCCTCAGGCCACCAAAATGGATGCCCTCCACACCTTGGCTGCGCCTAGAAATCCTGTCCATAAAGGTTATGAACAGAATCTGTGACAAAGAGCAGCCTTGGCAGAGTCCATCTCTCACTGGGAACGAGCCCGACTTACTGCCGGCAATGCGGACCAAGCTCTGACACCGGTCATACAGGGACCTAACAGCCCGTATCAGAGGGCCTGATACCCCATACTCCCGGAGTACCCCCCACAGGGCCCCCCGAGAGACGCGGTCAAACGCCTTCTCCAAATCCACAAAACACATGTAGGCTGGTTGGGCAAATTCCGACACACCCTCCAGGATCCCCGTAAGGGTATAGAGCTGGTTCAGTGTCCCACGGCCAGGACGACAACCACATTGCTCCTCCTCTCCAGAACCCCTTAATAAACCTTACCAGGAAGGCTCAGGAGTGTGATCCCCGTGTAGTTGGAACACACCCTGCAGTCCCCCTTTTTAAGTAAGGGGACCACCACCCCGGTCTGCCAGTCCAGTGGGACTGCCCCCGATGTCCACGCAATATTGCAGAGCCGCTTCAGCCAACACAGCCCCACAACATCCAAAGCCTTAAGGAACTCCTGGCAGATCTCATCCACCCCCGGAGCCTTGCCACAGAGGAGCTTTTAAACCACCTCAGTGACCTCAGCACCAGAGATTGAGAGGCCAACTCAAAGTCCCCAGACTCTGCTTCTTTACTGGAAGACGTGTCGGTAGGATTGAGGTCTTCGAAGTATTCTGCCAAAAGATCCACAACGTCCTGAGTAGAGGGCAGATAGTCGTGATGGGGAAACATGGATGGAAATGTTGTTTTCTTGCAACGCTTTGAAAGTGTTGCAACATCAGTTGATGAAAACTTAAAAAATGACTGCTCATAAATCACCCAGAATAATGGCTTAAAAAGCAGAATTGTTTCAAACATATCAGCTGATGCATTCTGGCGTGTTTTAAAACCAACATAATCATAACTACTATAAATATTCTTTAATTTCACACCAGTGCACATTGTTTTCCTCTGAAGGTGGAAGTCTCATTTAATATTGTAGCCCTTGAAATTAAATTTGCCTCAAGGCTTTGTTCTTGTGTTCTTTCTTTTTGTTTTTGTCTCTCTAGATCATTTGTCTCATTGTGGATGTCTGATTTCTCGCTTTTTTTTCTCAGATCTTTCAGCTCCAACAGTATCAATTCATCAGCTCCACTCTTTACAACTTCTCTCTGGGCGTGCAGTGTTTTCCATCATCCCATTTTCCGACTTAATACCTCACTCTCTGATCTCATTATTGTCTCTGAACCTGAGCCAGCTTCTCCTGACAGCATTAAATGTCTCTCAAGGTTCTTTGTCTTGGACCCTTTCAGACAGGCAGGTACCATTATTCTCCTTTTATAGAAGACAGAAGCCTACAACGGAAGCCCTTTATGTCTCTCTTGTTTCCATCCAGCCCTCATTTATTTTACCTACACACCTCTTTCCATATTTGACCTCATGTCTGTTCATCTGTCTTTGCAGAGGCAGTTCATCATGTCTCCGTCAGCATCAACGTGTCTCACTCCTTGCTGGTTTGCAGCGAGGCGTGGGGGACAGACCCCATTTTCAGCTGGCTTTATGAAGGAGGCGCCATCACGCAGACGGTCGGACGAGTCTCCGCCGATGGGACAACATTGTCTGTGTCTCTTTCACCCATTTGCGGCCACTTCACCTGTGTGGTTAGGAACAAGCTGGGTGACAGCTCAGCCACCTACATGGCAGGTACTGATCTTCTGTGTGAAACTTTATGGAACCTCACATCCACCTTGTAGCAAATTTTTTATAAACATTTTATAATTAATAGTTTATGAACTTAAAGAGGAGGAGGAGATTTCGAAATTTGAATGGCTGCAGCTCCCATCCCTTCTGAAAGGTGCACCTCAAACCGAGCGCAAGCGCTAACAGGCATGTTTTTGATCTGTTCCTGCTCAGACACACCTGATTCTGACTGCTGGATTATCTGTAACACTCGTTTTATTACATCAAAAGTGTTCAAGCATCGAAAAGTCCAAAACCAGCAGAAATCTGGCACTCGTGATGCTAGCTCACCCCGGCTAACACTACAATGAGCTAAAACAACAGTCTGGTGTAGCGTAATGTTAACCGCTACGCTAATCATTCCAATATACAAAAGATAAATCCTTTTTGTGCGCCTCCTTTCTCATCCACAATTTGCATTATTTGCATTATTTAATTCAATGCAGATCAATAGCATTCAAGCTAGGTTGGTGTGCTAAGCTGTGTGTCAGTGCTTCACCCTGCAGTGCATGCTGGGAACTGGGACACATTCTCAATAGCTTCTTTGATTAGACCCATCTTGGCAGGAAATCAGCGTAAAGTTGTCGCCATGGTGTGTCTTACGAAAACATTGTGGTGGCAAACCGAATTTTGTAGTGTTTGTGCCTCATGAATGGGATGTGTCTTGGCAAAACAGAGGATGATGTCTTGATCACGTGTGGAATGTCTGCCAAGCCCTGGCCTGCGACTGTATTGAAAATGAAAGTAAATGCAGGCAGTCTAAGCTAAGTCAGTGAAGATGGCAAACTAGAGAAATGCAGAGATCTGAGAGTTTCTCTCGGTTAGAGCCGAAGCTCAGATCACCAGACAGTTCACGAGGACTGTGAGCGCCAGACACCTTATGGAGGGGCTTGTGAAAAAAACTTACAGAACGTGGCTTACATCGCAACAAAAAACAAGTTACGTTCAAGCTAAAAGCTTTGGGTAGAGACTGAAAGAGTGAGATTGTGGATACAAGCAGGGTGGCCGGGCTTTCCCTTAGAGATAGGGTGAGAAGCTCGGTCATCCGGAAGGGGCTCGGAGTAGACCCGCTGCTCCGCCACGTTGAAAGGAGCCAGTTGAGATGGCTCGGCCACCTAATTAGGATACCTCCTGGATGCTCTCTGGTGAGGTTTTATGTGCACGTCCAACTGGGAGAAGACCTAAAGGAAGACCCAGGGCACGCTAGAGGGACTGTGTTTCTCAGCTGGCCAGGGAATGCCTGGATTCCCTTGGAGGAGCTGGCCAAAGTGGCTGAGGAGAGGGAAATCCAGACCTCCCTGCTTAGGCTGCTGCCCTTGCGACCCGACGCTGGATAAGCGGCCCAAAATGGCTGGACAATCGCATAATGCCGAACATATCGGCATGACCTACCATGACATTTTCGGTATCAGAGTTGTTTTAATTTTGACTTTACAGATTTTATCTAATCTGTAAAGTCAAAACTAATCTTTGTTTCTCCAAACTGAGGAACCCGAGTGCCCCCTGATTGGGGGGCAAACCCTTTAAGAAGAACTTTCATCCCCAAAGATCACCCAAAAATTCAGTAAATATTGTCATCCTGCACCTCTAAATAAGCCGCAGAGCCACGGCTACAAGACCATGCAAGCTTTTTTGACATGTTCCAAACACAACTAGAACTACAGTTAAAAGAGTAAATGGAAAAAATGTGTATCAATGAATTCATTGAGGTTTGGGGGCTACTGCTTTATTTTTCCTAAGAAAATCCGTCCTTAAATTAAATATTTTTCAGGCAGACAAGGAAAAATCTAGTTTTTTACAATGTTACATGTCCATTTACATTTAATCAGTAACACATGAATCATTATTTACATGTCTCAGCAAATCCCGCAGGAGTTCCCTTCAAAATGAGAAAAGTAATCAAATAAGCCTTGTGGTGTCAGAAATATACTCATGTAATTACAGACATGTCATTTTCAAGGACATTTCTCAAAAATAGGCTTAGGGTCTAAAGAGCAAATAACCTTTGTGATGTTAAAAGTTCATAACCTTTCCGATCTACTGAGTGGCCCTTTTTGTGACAGTTTCACAAAATAATATTAAAAAATAAAATTAACTGACATGTTCAGTTTAACTAGTTAGGACCATTTTAACATTTATTACAGATTAACAGAAAATGACATAATTATTATATCAGCATAAGTTGAAAAGCTTGAGTTTTCTGGATATTATTTTAAGTGTAAAGCAGCAAAAATCCCACATCTTAACATTTTCTAAATAATATAAATAAATAATAAAAAAGGAGCTGCCTTGAGCTAATTGTGTTGTTTTTTGACTTTCAGCTTCACTCTTTCACCCTCAGAGACATTTTTTTTCCTAACGGCTGTCACTAAAACTCAGAAACAAGCAGCTGATGATACAGACGCTTTCAGCTAAAGACATTTAAAATATTTGATTCAAAAGTTCAAGAAACAAAGCAGAATTACAAAGGAAATTTTAACTTCCACCCCAAAGTAAAATTGAGTCTGTTGCCACGTTCCCAAGAGGCAGATGAGTGGGTAAATAAAATTGGATCCAGTCAAGTTGTTCTCCTAATCTGGCAGTAATCTGTTAGCTTTAGCTTAGCATTAACAACATAAATGAATGGTAACACCACTGTAAGCTCCCACTGCAACGCACAAGGACACGACGCAGCGGTGTGGCGTCTGGCAGACATTGCCACTTCCGTGTTTACTGTATAACGTTTACAGCATTTCCCGCTGACGACAGTAAACGTGAGTTTTGCGGCCGCTGCGTCGCGTCTTCATGTCTTGCAGCAACAGCTTACAGTGTTGCTCTGTCATCACGCAGTCCCAAGTCAAAATTGGCACCCTTAATACCTCCAAGTCTCTAATGAATTAAGTTTGAACAAAAATTAGGATTATTATTGATTTTGTTTGTACTTACTTTGAAATGCTAGCTGTTACCATTCACTTACATTGTTTGTGCTAAGCTAACGCCAATGGAATTCATGCCAGATTAGGAGAATGTCTGAGCGGATCAAAATGCTTTGTCCCACTTTGGGGTGGAATTTTTGGATTATAAAAACAAAAACAAAAAAATGACAGGAAACTTTCTAAAGTCAAAATAATGAAGTTGTTTTTACGTGAATGAAGAAGTTTGAGATGATCCATTTAACCTGTTGTTCAGAGGGCAATGTTTGAACCATGATAAGACAAATTAAAGAAAGGAAAACATCTTTATTGTGTGCAGTATCAGAGTTATTATGTATTATTCATATTTTCCATTTTTCCGGTAAGATTACCTGTGAAATTACTTTGTTATTTTTGAGCCAGATGCACGTCTACAGATGACCTCCAGTTCAGCGCAAAACGCATAAAAACACACAAGTTGATCAAAATTTCTCAGCTCCTAGCACGTGCTTTTCAGTTTATGCGTTTCTATTCTGAATAATAACATCAGAGCACCAGCTAATGACATTGTGGGGGGAATAATCTATTGTAATGTTATTTAAACGGCCCTTTTAGAGTCACTGATATGCAGAAATCCTGCCTGTCTGAGCTTTGTCCTGACTGCACTCCGCTCTGCTCTGAGTGTTGTTGCTGCTGTGGTGATTCAGTGAAAAAGGATTTTCCAGACTGTGATCAATAAATCACTGCAGCCGCTACTGCCTGTGCTGCTACCAGAGCTGCTAAACAGGCGAGACAAATGCAATTCTTCGTATCTGCCAAAAAACGTGATGATCCAGAGGCGGGCAGGGTATTTCTGGATCCTTCCTGTTTTCTCCTCTTGTTTCTGACTTTACTCAGGGTGGAGAGGGGACTTTCCAGCCCTTGAGAGCCACCGGATCATTTCTGTTTTACCTTTTTGTTGTTATTGTTTGTTGACAGCACCCTGCAAATCCGAGGGCAGAGGGATGACAGTGGCTGTTGTCTGTCCTGTCCTCTTGCTGCTGCTGCTGCTGTGTGGAGGTGTGCTGGCATTTCTTCTGTGGAGGTACAGTAATGCAAGTAAACACCGTGTCAGGCACAAATCTCATTTTAGGCTACGCTCTGATGATAAAGCCAACGCTGTGAGTGTGAGGACGAAAAAGGAAGAAAAAAAACAACACACTGTTAAGACAAGGGGAAAAAAGTGAGAGTACAGAGTGAAACAGAAAAAGATGCGACATGGCATCCTCCCACACGATATGCAGCATGACAGCCCAGGCTGTGCCTGCTGACAAAACAATTGTCATTTTTACTTGAGTCTGTTCACAGTTTGTCACTGCTGTTCGATCTAAATTGAACAATTCCTTTCAGGAGACGCAAGCACAATAACAGGGGAGAAAGGCTGCACGAACACGTGGATGACACCATCTGAGAGGGAAGGCCTAAGCTGCTGCTAAGAGGTCTCAGAGTAAAACTCGTAACGGACGCGACCTTCCTGTCCTCGGAGCAGTGTGACCCTACATTGTATTGGCACCATTTGAAGTGTGAATTGATTTCTGACAAATAAAAAAAAATATTTGTATTCAGAGTTAGATGTTCGACATGAGGAGACAGCGGCGACCTTATACTGCCTCCTGCTGGACGCCGAATGAAACTAAAAAGTCAGCTCAGAAATGTTGATGCATTATGTGATAAAACATAAATATCTGGAATTGTATTCTTAAATATTTAGTATTGTTTCTTGTGTTAAGGTGTCTGTCTATACGTATATGTGCTAAACCTTTCATCTATAAGTGTTATAAACTGGATTTGAAGTAATAAATGTACAAATACAACAGGTGTTGAGGCAATGTGCAAGACATTTTACATGATGGGTCTTTAAGGAAAATATTTTTATCTATTTTTCTAGATCTAGACCAAAAATGTCAGTTTTTTATGAAAAAAAAAATACTGTCATGTTCTGTGTCCCCTTGGTCCCCAGCCCCCTCCTGATTGTCCTCTGTGTTCTCCTCATGTTCCTCCTGGTGTTTTCCAGCTTCTCAAGTCTCTCCAGTCACCCCTCTATAGTTTTATTATCTATAGGTTCAGCTTTTCATTTTGTTTGTTCCCTTTAGTGTTTGTGTCCTTCCCCACTTGTTAATTAGTCTTCCTTACGCCTCTTGTCATTAGTTGTTTATCTTGGCCCTTAGTTTCCAGGTTTAGTTATGTAGTGTTTTTATAGGTTATGTTATCTTCCCCTCTGCTTGGTTTTCCCTTCCCATGTACTTAATTGATTTCACCTGTCACCTGTTCCCCTGATTGCTTTCCACTGTGTTAAAAGCCTGGCTTGTCCTTCAGTGTTTGTTGGGTCATTGTCTTATGTGTTGCATTGTTCGTTCCCCTCTCGAGTATCTCCTAGTTCCTGCTCGTGTGTGAGCTTAGTTAATTTAGAGCTTTCAAGTTTCTTTTGTTTAGTTTTTTTTTTTGAGTATCAGTCTTATTTTGTGCTTTGGACTTTTCAGCACATCCTCCTTAAATAAAGGACTTGTTTTTCTTAAAACCTCTCCTGCCTTTGAGTCGTTCTGGGTACTTCTGCATCCTGGGTCCAACCTCCTCTCCTAAACGTGACAAATACAGCACAAAAGTTTGTTTTTTCCTTCAAATAAAACAGTTTTCTATAAAATAATTAGTCATAAATGTAATTTATTATATTTTCATGCAACATTATTTTACCTGCTTAAAGTTTACATCCTCAGCCTTTTTTGGTTTATTTTGGGCAGAAAATCTTGTAATGATATTCAATTTTAAATGGTAATATAAATTTTTTATATTTCCCATATAAGAATTCTTTAGTTGTTTAATTTTTTAATTGAATAAGTGGACAGAAATATTTTCCACCAAGCGGTTTACCTGCTAGTTAGATGGTTAACCCCACTTGCTGGTCCAAATTTCTAGATGTCAACTTTTCTTTTTTTTTTTTTACCATGTCCTGTCTGGCTGTGAAACAAACAGAATTGATGGCTGAATGCTGGTGACAAGCCTTACAGATTTACTCTCAGATGGAGCATCACAGCATCTGCTTTTAATGTCACGCCTGATACTTAAAACTTTATTGTTATTGTTTTTGAATGCTTTTTAATTCCGACCAGACACGGAGACAGAGGTGAAAGAGAAAGGAAAAGACAAAAGGTGGGGAGAGAGGGGGGAAGGGGGGGCGGGGGGGTCCACAAAAATAAACAATAATGAACAAGAGTCTGCATCAAGACCTGCAGAAAGAGAAAGAATAGAAAAAAATGGGACACACAACAATACATCAGGAGCAAGCTATCACTGCATCAGCCTGATGATGAAATATAAAATCAACATTGTTTAACCGAACAATAACACGATAAGAAATCATAGTGCATTTAGTGGCAACGACAGCCTTAAGACATGTGTTTAACGTGCCCAAGTCCATACTTATGAGAGCACCAGGTGAGCACCTGTGTGTGTACACGCGCTTGAATATGTACGGTTTCTCTACAGAGACGTCCAATAGAGAGTGTGAGGGACCACAGATCTGCCCCTAAAGATGTGCAGGAGACGGGGGGAGCTCCAAGTCTCAGAGATCCAGGCGCTGCCCCAGAACACAGAAACCCCAAGGAGACTGCAACCAGAAAGGCCGCCTCCCCCCTCGAGAGGCACAGAGGATCGCCCCGGGGGGCCACAACCAGCAGCCGGCAGAGTCCCGGGAGATATCAGCGGCAAGCCCACAGGCCCGCCCGCAGCCTCCCACCCCCTAGCCGGCCGAGCCCGGGACCCAGCGACCCGGGACCCCGGGGCGACCACCCCCGCCAGGGACCCAGCAGAGCCAAGGGAACCCAGACCCCACCAGGCAGCCACCGGGATTGATCAGGCAGAGGCCAAAAATCTTAAACCCCCTGACCCGGGAGCCACGAACACTCAGGCAGACCAAGGCACAACCCCTCACACCAGGTGTGACAGGGGGAGGGGAGGCAAAGATCTATATCATCAAAAGAAGTCCCAGGAGAAGAGAGGAGTCAAAGGCCCCACCTGACATATACAGTCATACACAAACACAGTCACACACTCCCTCCCTCATGCTCACACATGCACATACAACCCAAGACTTACAAAACTGCACACCGGACACCTACTCATGCTCCCCATACACACCCTATTCACTCTGGTCCCGGTACTGCTGCACATTGGGTACAACCATTACCGGTTCCCAGAGTTTGACCCTTTCTGCTGGGGTGCTGATGAGCAGGCTCCCCCGCCCAACGCTGAGCACAGCAACCCACCACCCCAGACCCCAACCAGACGGCCAGATCTCCCTCCTAGCCTCCAGCCCCAGGAAGCCAAGCGACAATAGAGGTGTGCTAAGACCCCTAGTCTCCCCCCGCCTGCTCCAATATAGTGTTGTGTGTTGATGAGGTATATTCCATGGCTGTGGTGAGCGGGCAGTGCGGGCATTGTCTGGCCTATGCCAGCTGATGCCACCGCACCACCCCACTTACACCTACAGCCCTCGGTGTCTAAGTGCAGTTTAAAATTGGAAGTGGGCACCGGCACTCGGGAAGAGGCTGAGAAATCCCCCTGCCAAGTGCCATTGAATGTGCTCACTCCCAAGGCCCTAAGTGTGTGTTTGCGTGGAATGTTGTCTGTGGAAGTGTTTAAGGTGCAAATAAAAATGGGGGGCAGGTTGCCACAGGAATGCGGAAATGGGGTCCATACCCGCACTCCCTGACTTGTCCACTCCCCAAGGTCCTATGTGTATGTTTGTGTGATGATGTGAGGGAGCAGGAGGAGAAAAATATGCAGGGATGGGGAGGAATGGCTGGTTGGGCTTAGCCTTCCAGGGAGCCAGCTCCCCCACTGGTCCCAATAGGCACCTCTGTTGTCAAAATGCCACCCAGGGCATGGAGACCCCAGCCCATCCTGCCAGGGCCCAAAGCAGCAGCACTGCAGAGCCTCACGGAGTCCGAGGGCACCAACCCAGCTCCACCCCAGCAGAATTTCTATGCCCATCCCTGCATTTGCACAACTTCAGGAATATATAAGACATAGGACATCCAGGTAAGGTTGGGTCCACCCCTCCTGGACCTCCCCCTCCCCTGTGATGGGACAGCAAAGTAGCCAAGGTCTACCCGAGGCCCCTGAACTCGGGCCAGGAACTGCTGCATGTTCCCGGCAGCATACATGTCAGGACCCGACCCCCAAGGCCCTGCCCAGATCCTCACACGGGGCCGTCTGGGTGGGGGTGTTTTTGATACACGTCAGTGTCCGTGGTTCTTATAAGACTAGACAGGAAATCACACACAGTTTCAGTGTAAATTATCCAGAATTTTTCAAAATAAAAGACCACTGCAGTGATGCTATTTCTGATCTATGTGCATTACATGTGACCTAAAGGCTTATTTGCTCTCATTATCTCTGGAGAAGTGCAACGGGGTGTTTTTCATGGCTTTAATTGTGATACTAAACAGTGATATCAAACATGATCTCCTTCTTATGGCGGATGGCATAAATCGTCGAAGCATGACCTTCGAAGTCTTGAAAGATTTTGTGATCTTGTGAGTCCAGCGAGGAGGACAGTGGAGATGCCGCTCCGCAGCGGAGACTACTACCGGTCTTGACTGACTCACCAGTGTGAACTCGCCATAAGTGATAAAAAGCTCTACAGGGTAAATTAATTTTTTCTCAACCCCCTCCACTCCATCACGTACCTCACAAGAAGCATTAATACCTTATAGCAATCCATGTTCACGTCTCAGAACAGGCGAGGTAGACAATGTTGGCATTTACTGTGTTGTGTTTGTCTTGGCGGATCCTCCAAAGGAACAACTTTACCTTTATCTGATGAAAGAGGCAAAATAGTGATGGGATTTATGAGTCTTTCATGGGAGCTGTTCATTAGTTGGTTGTTTACCTCAAAGAGCCGCTCAAAAGACTGGCTCCTTTGAACAAAGCAAAGCCAAGAGAGTGGGGACTCTACAGGGACTCGGCTCTCATCGTTCACTTTGAAAACCCGTTCAAAAGATTCAATTCGTTCATGAATGTCACATCACTAAGACAAAAACGATGTCCGACCGAAAGAGGGGCGAAACTAGAGACAACATTTGGAATGCGTTTTCTGAATGTTGAGGACTCAGAGACCAAGAAAGACTCAAACTAGATGCAGACCTCATGATTATCCAATTGTAATTTTAATAGTTGGAAACCACAAATTAAACATGTATATAATAAGGTTGCGAGAAGCATCTACATTATGAATAAAGCTCGACAGTACTTGGATTATAAATCACTCCATGTCCTTTATTATTCATTGATTTATCCCCATCCTATTTACTGTGTAGAGGTATGGGGTAACACTTATAAAACATCTATTGTACCCTTGTCTATCATACAGAAAAGAGCCCTGAGAGTCGTTCACAATGTTAGATTTAGAGAACACACTAATCCGTTATTTATATATTCAAAAATACTAAAATTTGAAAATTTACTTCAACTATAAACAGCGACGTTCATGTATGAAGTGCATAGGAAATTATTACCAAGCAAATTATTAATGCTATTTATAAAACCAGATGACGTATATAATTTCAGGTGCAAACTTAACTTTAGGCATACATATTTTAGAACAACATTAAAGTCATTTTGTATTTCTGTTATGGGTGTAAAAGTTCGGAATAAGCTAAGTGGGGATCTAAAGTAAAGTCCCACATTGCAGAAGTTTAAAGAGAAGTATAAAAATATTATACTAATTAATTACATGGAGGAGGAGGAAAAGTTGTAAAGGTGTTGCATTTTATTTCTGGTGAACTGGGAGCTGTGAATATTGGAAGGGGGGGGACATAAAAAAATGTAAATTTTGTTTGTGTGATCGAGGAGAAAACATGTTATAAGAAAATGGCTATGACACTCAGTGTAGGGAAAATAATTTTTTTGTTTTATCTTCCTTGAAATTTGATTGGGGGGTGGGGGGGGGGATTATATAAGCTACCAGAGCTTCTTTCCCTTCCTATTGAACATGTTCTACATACATACATATATATATATACATATATATATATATATATATATATATATATATATATATATATATATATATATATATGTATATATATATATATATATATATATATACATATATACATACACACACACACACACACGTATACATGTGTATGGGTTTCTTTTTGAATACTAGGGTGACGGTGGCACAGGAGTTAAGTGCTCGCCCCGTAATCGGAAGGTTGCAAGTTCGAGCCCCGCTCAGTCTGTCGCTGTCGTTGTGTCCTTGGGCAAGACACTTTACCCACGTTGCCTGCTGTTGATGGTCGGAGGGACCGGTGGCGCCAGTGCTCGGCAGCCTTGCCTCTGTCAGTGCACCCCAGGGCAGCTGTGGCTACATCGTAGCTCATCACCATCAGTGTGTGAATGGGTGAATGACTGTGTTGTAAAGCGCCTTGGGGGTTCCATGACTCTAGAAGGCGCTATATCAAATACAGGCCATTTACTTTTTGAATACTTTATTTGTCTATAGATTTACATGTTCAATAAAGAAAGAAATGAGAAAATATGAGGTCAGCTGGTTTGAGAATATGAACG